AAGCTGTTTTACCCAATGTTTACGTGCCCTACTTTTAGCCACCTCGCAGTCAAGGCCTTTATCGCTTCATAAGTTATTTATTGTTTCATGTTGATCATGTGTTGTGTTTTAGATAAATAAAACATTCACAGCGTTATCGAAAATGTAAACATGTCCTTAAACTAAATCTAGTGAAACAAGTTGCAAATTTTGTGCAATATTAATTTACTTAATAATTGTACATTTATAGACCGAGGACAACATCACGACTTCATTCATTACACAATAACAAATATTTTCAATCACCAGGTACTTTCAGAAAATAACGCAAAGTCGCGTGTATTGAGTGTGTTCTTATATCTTATATAGAAAGTTTTGCGCACGGTCGCGCAGGCCCTGAGGACACATCGTACTTTGTTCTTATACAAAACTTTAAGAAGTTGGTTAACAGATGTTCTCCGTGACTTTTGTCTCAGAGTCCTTACATTGTGATACCTTGTGAGCGAGTGTTTTTGTATCAATGTTGTTTTTCGGTAAAATATTAGCGGCATGGTATGTCTAGCATTTATTGCTTGCCAGTAATTGCAAAAAAATACGTCTCGATTAAGAAACGAGACATTGTTTTACCCTTTCATGTACTTTAGTAAATAAAGAAATAAATAGATAACCTTTAAGACATAAAACATTTCAGATCCAGGATATTATTTAGCCAGGAGAAATGGGCAGACAAAAACAGTTTACATGAAGTGAAAGAGGCCGGTTGCAAAGCTGATCGCAGCTCGTCGCGGCAGCTGGCGCAAACTCGGTCTGGAAATACTGTCCAGACGTGACTTGCCGATATTGCATCATTCTGTTCCACATCTCGTCACACGTGCATTGCACGGTAAAGCTCGAAACCACACAGCTTGGATTTTTCCTGGAGTATCTAATTTAGGTGCAATTGTACTACTTAGAAGAGATACGTTTAAATGTGTTTATTTCCATTGTACAACAGGGTTTTCCGATAAAGAAAAAAATATTAATAATAAAGCCGCCTGTTTCCCTTTCGTTTTTATGTGTAGTGTAATTCTGCCACACACACAATTTAAACTATACATTTTTATAACTGTCACTACTTTTGAGGACTCTCTGCTGGACATCACTAGTATCATAAATAGGTACCTATAGTAAGAAATGTGCGTATACGAATAGCTTGTTATAAAACAAAATATTAAATCTAAAAACTCTAAATGCAATGATATTGTTTAAATGCCATATGTCCATATAAACCAATAAATAATTGTAATAAAAACTTTTAAAATTCATTATAAAAATATGTCCTGAATATAATATTATTAAAAAAAATTAACAATAGATATTTTGCTTATATGATACATTAAATAGATATTTGAGGCATATTTTAATGTATTATTTTATTTATTTAATGCCATGCAAGTATTTGTTATTAATCTTAAATAAACACTATATGCGATAAAATGGCAAATTTTATCATAATTATTGTTTATGATGCTTTATTTAAGTTTTTCTACTCCTGTGGTTTAATCTGCCGACTATAATTTCACAATATTATAAAGGCACTCTTTTTAGTTCCTAATCAAAATGCTATTGTCTTTTTAGTTCCTAATCAAAATGCTCTCGCCACTGAAAGCTGAGCTAAAGATGTAATTAATAATAATAATAACGCACACACACAAATTTAAGTTCTGTACACAGAACTATAATGTATTAAAGTACGGTACGCAGAACTATAATGAGTTTCAAAAAAAGAACGTCCTATTTTTGCCAATTAAAAATACCAATTAGGACGCCACTCAAACGCGATATTGCCTCCTGATTGGTTAAATAAAAGTCTTGTAACCGGGCCATAAATCTTCTTAACAATAAAAAATTATTGGTTAAAATATTATGCGGTACTTGGACAGTTTTATCCTATATCTATATGAAGAGGCTGGATGGTGGTACGTTTGCCTACCCTAACAAATAGGGTAAAACTTAGAATAATAACGCATAGAATGATAGTTTCATATCAAACGAACTGTCACAAGTGAGGCAAAAATCAAATTTATGTAAGCTAGTTTTAGTAGTAGGTTAATTTTCGGTTTTAGTGAATATTTATATAAAAATACAAGTTGAAACGCGTTACTTCCTTGTGGAACGTGATGTTAGTATCTATTTTATGTTTGTCTGACGTATTTTTACACTCATTTACCGCACATTTCGTTATTTTTAGCTAAAATTCTTTATCTGTTTGCGGTGCAAGTTGACCTTGAGCACTGAAGGCCCGCCCGCTCGTGTAGGCCCTTCTGGCGCGCTTCAATTTGCCTCACTTAGCGTGTGCGGACTGGGTTTCTATGCGTTATTATTCTAAGGGGTAAAATTTATTTAAAAAAATTGTATTACTTAACATGGATTGTTAACAAAATATATATCAAAAAATTGATTCTGTTTCACAATTTTATTTACTCGTAGAAAAATTATGTATGCAATGATTACATAATTATATGTCTTAAAATCTCGTATCTATTACTTAGGCCACTACTTAGACCACGGCCTAAACACGGTACTTGACTTTAAAAACCCTCATAAAATTATGCAATGATTGAATAAAATAGTATTATTTAGTTGTTGCATTCGTGTTACATTATTTTTAAAATAAATATCGATTGATTTAATTTATTTTACGTCTCGAGAAAAAGGATCAATCATTAAAAAAGATGACCGTTTAGATTTTGCCTGCTGCTTTTGCATATTTAATAGGATCGTTTAAACACAAGCCAAAATAAATTGTCCTTGTAACTCTGCCAGCAGCAGCAAGTCTACTTATTGCAACGATGCTAAAAGGTACTGACTATATTGAGTTCCTAGGCTTTCGCAATTCTTACACATAGAAAATAAAACTATTTTTTCGGGTCTTAGTCGCGTATATTTGTTTTTTAGAACAAATCAACGTTTCAGTCCCTTTAAGGTCCTATGTTGGCTATAACCATGGGACCTGTAAAGGGCCCAAAACGTTGGTTTGTTTCAAAAAACCAATACCTATATATGGTTTATAAAAATAGTTTCATTTCCTAGGTACTGATTACGCTGGTAGCTACTGTAGGATGTTTAGATTTCCGATTTCCATGACATATAAAGAAACAAGGATTTTTCGTGGGTTTTTCATTGTTATATTTACAAGTATTATATAGATCTTATATTGGAGGTTCCAAATATGTAATGTAAAAGAAGAAAAAATTTACTCACATTATAAATTAGCACTGCAGAGTTATTACGTGGTTGCAATAAAATATTTGCGAAAATTTGTCACTCTAGCCATTACTCTAGCCAACTACTTATAAAAATATGTTATATATATATTATATATACATTTAAATTACCTTACGTTGTTGCTAGATTTTATAGGTAATTCATTAATATTGTGATTTTTTCACAAAACCAGACAAGTATCTACTATTCAAAAAAACTCTCTCGTGTAATGGAAATCGTGCCCCGCGGCCCCTGGGACATCGCGGATCCCCTGTACAAAAGGCCCAACAAAAAGGTCCTGCCGTCACATGAACATTGTAAAACTTGCCTCCATACTTACGTCCGCACCCTCAAACAAATACCAGCTCTACACCACGGGAATTAAGCCCAATGTCTACTTACACATCTATTTTGTTAGAGTTTTTTCCAATCCGATAATGCGACCTTAGCGCCGGGATCATGGTTTACTACAAATTGTATTAGAGTAGTAGATTTAACTATTTATGCGGTTTTCGCCCGGTCCGTAGAGACTCCCGAACACGCTAAGTCAGAAACAAGTAGCTTTAAGTTTTTATATGTTTGTACACTCACTGTTTGCTCGGCTACTCTTGTTGCATAAGTTAAAAGAAACTATGAACAGCAAAGTAGTTTTATATGTGTAAGCATAGTTACTTTTGAAAAATAGTGAAACTAATACTCCGGGGAAGTTTTGTTTTGTAAGAATTATTCACTTTTATTAAGTACGTAAATAAGTAAAGTTAATGCTACTAGAATGTTTACCTTTATTTCAAAACTCCTGAGCGTGATTTATTGACTTATGAGTTCGTTCTATTCCAATTAGTAATTGTCTGCAGAATCAATAACCCTCAGAGGTAATTAGAGGCAAGAAATTCCGCGTAGCCGCATCGAGTACACCTCCAGCAGAGCCTCGAGTACACCTCGTGCGTTACGCATTCCTCAGATATCGAATGATCTCGAACTATATCACAACTAGTATTAAATTTGTATACGTATACATACAGGCTTTGAATGTTTATTTATTTGTCAACAATTATATGACTATACGCGTTTGCGTTATTAAATTATGTATTCTAATAAATTATTTCGTCACAATTTACTTTTCTTCTTTTTTCTTCATCAACTCTCGAGTAGGTCACGGAGAGATCAATTTCAGCTCCATTATTGAGTAAGGTGAACCACACAATAGAATAGTATTATCTCCGCAAAATCCTTGTATCAAATCTAAAAATCGCATCGTATTGTTGTCTTTTGTGTTCGGGTTCGCATTCGTTTTCCATCGCACACCATTATTCACATTAAGTGGACAGATCTCGGGTCAGATCCAGGCACAAGAAAAGCACAAAAAGTGCCCGCTTTATCCGAGCATGATAAATCTACTTCAAATCCGAGAATAGCGTCTTTTATGAAGGAAATTGAAATAAACCGACCGTGCGGATAACGGCTAAGTAAGATCAGGAGCCTTTTAGAATATATTGGTGAATCATTTTCATTCATCAAGACCTCGCTCTGCTTAATGCATCGGGTCTGTACGGTATATTTCAATAAACTTGAAAAAAACTGAAGGTTAACATGGAGCTCGTTGGATATTGGTGGTAAATGTTTTACAACGATCTCGAAATTCCTGCAAGTATCTATAAGTATATCCATTCCTGCTATACAATGATACAACAATTTTCATGACCTATCAAATTTGGGAAAGGCATCATTTTCTTGTATTTTTCTACAAAATGTCCAAAAGATATTCCTTTTTATAGTGGCGGGGCAGAAATCGAGCGTGAAATGGTTACCAGGAGAGCGGTCGTCTCGCGAACAAACGAAATAGCTGATGGCCGAGCCGCCCGCCAGGCGTTAGGCGGAAAATTGGCTACCTACCCTGAAACACGTTGTGAGATTCTTTGTTACTACCTATTTGTTTTTAAGTTGATATTATAGTTGTCTGCGTTAGATATCATATTATTTACTGAAAAATTTACTTATTTAAATGCACAAACATGTACACTTATGTGCTAGTAGTTTCTTCTTTCATTAACATTTATTTGTATTGTGCGAAAATATTTAAGAGAGAAGTCATTCAAGTATTTGCAGCGGTGTGGTATAAGGGTAATAAGATTTGATATAAAATCTCTGCATCAGTATTGCCTCCGGCAACCAGAAAACAATCCTGCTTGAACCGCAACGAACTGAAGCGCCATAAACTCTCGACCGTTATGATTTCTATCACCGAAGCTAGCTTTGCTCCCTCCACTTTATGGACGACGTTCTCTTATATTTTTACTACCCATCAATAACGATATGATTGGATGCGCGAAACTTTTGATCAAACATAGTTATCAAAATATCCGTTGAATTTATAAAAGTAATAAAAAAAATACACACACCGTGTTCTCTACTGTACCGACAGTCCTATGCCTGAAATATAATTAATACACACAGTGTATTAAAATTGGATACTCATAAGGAATAACGTGTCAACCAACATGATCATAGTTTTGCGAAAATGGCACCTAAACATTTTTTCGGTGTTTCTGATAGTTTGTTCTAAAATTTACTTGTAAAATAAAAATTTTTGCTGTTGTCACCTCAGGAATGACAAATTGTTGTTATTTAGTCTTATAATTCCCCAACAACAATAAGCACAGTAGCAAAAATTTTCATTTTACAAGTAGGTAAATTTTAGAACAAACTACCTACCAAAAACAACGTACACGTTACTGTTTTTCAGAATCCAATCACGATTAATAATAATAACAAATATGTCCCAGACAACCACACCAATTACCTGATCTCAAACTAGGGAATTCCCTGAAGTTCTTTTCCCAAATAGGTCCTACAAACGCCCACAGTGTAAACCGATGAACCACTGACGTCGTCAAACTACACAAAATACATTAATTAAAATCATGTTCATAAATAAAATATTATTAAAACAGTTTAAAGAAACGGATACGAATATGATTGGATTGTAATTAGGATATGTAACAAGCGCGTAATAGCTTTCAAAGCAAGCAAAGTACTCGTATCTACGTAAGTGCTAAGTACTACATCTAAACTCAATATATTATAAGCCCGAAAGTAATTCTGTCTATTCCGTTTTCTCGCTTAAACCGCTAAACCAATTTTGATGAATTTTGATTGGAAGGTAGATATGACCTAGGAGAAGAGTAAATTTTAAAGCTATGCAAATTGGTATAGTACAGTGGGCTACTCGAAATACTTATTCTACGCAGACGAATCCGCGGGCACCAGCTAGTAATTACATAAACAAAACGCTCTAAAGTTTATCATGTCTCGAAAGTGAAATAAGTTAATCCATACGCACAAGAGCCATTTAGAACCTCAAACTTATTTACCTACCATGTCTTCTTTAAAAAAACTCCAAGCTCATTGCATGACAGAAACTATACACTTGTAGAAATATGTCAAACATTTTTTAACGGCTATTGTTTTTTTTCAATATTTATTCGAGTTTATATTAATTTTAGATGATTATAATGTTTATATCAATGCTATGATTATTTACGAGTGGACATAAGTTGTGGGTAGCGGCAAGGACTGTCAGATATGGAAGGCCACGTCGGCGATTGCAAAGATTCATGTTCATACAGTAAACTTAATGATGTGGCTGCCGAAAAGATGCGTGACGCCCTCACCGCAATAGTCCAAGAAATTAAAAGGTTATTGCTTTATTACCGACATTTCATTATTACAATTCCATTGCACATTCATAAATATTGTAATCAGCAATCTCCAAGCTCAATCTGCCTACATGCTTTTCTGTCACCCATACCCAATTGCAAACTACTTGAAATAAAATTTTATTTAAAATTAAGTAGCAATAGAGCTCCTTGTGAAAGAGTTCGGCCAGGGAACTAGGTACCTATTTCTTACCTATTTCTGCCGCCAAGCAGTAATGTTAGCATTACGGTGTTCCGGCTTTGAAGGGTAAGTGTGTTGGTGAAATTACAGGCACATGGGACTTATCAACTGATGTCTCAGGGTGACGGGCGCAGTGGCAGTGCCCCTCAGATCAGTGGTACTGCAACTGTTATGGACAGGCGTATAGCTTACCATCAGGCGCACGACTTGTTCGTTCCGTCACTTGAAATTATGAAAAAAAAACAGAACCTACTTAGTCGTTTGTCATATAAATTTGAAAAAGGGCTCATTCATAAATAACTTAGTGTCAAGGTTTCATTTATTGTTTTTGACGACATTTCGTTACACACATCAGCATCCTCTACCACACCACCAAATCTGTCATCACCATAAATATTTTTTACATTCGTTTGTAAACACGGCTGCTATCTAGTTCTTGATCCAGTTAAAGATTTGTGACACACAAAGAGCACTTCATGGCTTAAATCTCGCAAAACGCATCTAAATCTTTGTGCATCTTCGTCTAGTCTGTACCTGATATTCTCATCACTAACTCGTCTATTAGTAACTTGCCGTAGTCCGTTTCGTAACGTTGCCTACAGATTTGCTCGATTTTTTTGACGATCGAGTTGTATGATTATACAAAATCGACAATCGATCAATTACACAAATTAAATGCAACAGACAATCGACAACGTATTTAGTGTTAAACGATATGTGGAATTTTAATTATTCATAAGCACCGACAAGATGGTTCGATTTTAACCTTTATATTTATCAATTGCTAAGAAATAATAGTAACGATCGTCAAAAATCGAACAATATTTCGAGCTTCGTTTCGAGCTTGTATGTAAGTACCTTAACATACACGTCGTATAGAAACACTTTCGGTGCGCAGATTTTCACTTTCCGAATTTCAAAGGCACTTTTAGAGTGTTTTTTGCAAAATTCATTTTTCTTTCGGTTTTAAGGTCTCAAATGTACAAATAATGTCAATAATTGTTAAAATATATAAGTTAATAATAACAACACAGAAATATATAAGTTAATAATAACAACAAAACCTATATTTTAGGTTCCATGAATGAGATTACGGTAACACGAGTGATTTTCGCATAAATCTAAACTATATATTTAGAGACAGACGGCACAGTAATGATTATTTATAACATTCATTATAACACACATTTTGTCGTTCACAAAGGAACATTTAACAAGTAACAAACATTTTAATATCACTTCTTGAAACAAAATCCTTCACAGCTGTGTAAGGCCATCTATCTAAATAAGTATTTTGTTAATGCCTTTTAATCTTTATTGTACATCAATATATCATCATCATCATCACCATCATCATCATCATGATCACCATCATCATTATCATTACCATCCATATAATCATCACCATCATCATCATCATAGTCATCTGACGATGATAACTGTTACACTTAAAGTAACTGTTTGAATTAAAAGTAGATACGCATGAGAGCGACAAGAATGATAATTGGATACATTTTTAATTGTCAAGGTCGTAGAATGTTCTAACCGTTATAAAAGTGCGTGGATTTTAAAGTTCCCTTCAAAAATAAATAGATTTCTCACAGATGGCACTACGAAAGTCGTTAAAACCAAAACCACAAGGAACAAATCTGTTTTTACAACCTTTAAAATCTATATAAATATAGTGTGATTTTTGGACGCCTTACTCACATATAGTAATAATTTATAGATATCAAAGCAGATGTCCTGAGAATGATGAACATGTCAGTGAACTGGAAACATGTATAATAAAACTTAAAACAAAGAGGAAACAAGTGAAAATTCTAAAAGAAAACCTCAAATCAACATGCAGTAAGTACAGCCACTACCTACTGACATCTACTAATAATTTGATTTTTGCGTCTTTGCTTATGAGAAATAAATAGTAACATGACACTTCTCCTGTACAATTTATTAATTAAAATCACCTTGTACTGTCCAATTAAGTAAATAATTCATATGTTAACTCGTGTAATTCTATTACAGTGGTTGCAAAAACTGTAATAAACGCAAAAAAGAAAGAAATTAAGACTCTCAATGACAACTTGATGGCCGCTAAAAATAACTCCGAAGCTTTGATTAAGACAAACAATGAAATTTCAGAGGCTGTTAACAATTTAACTGCTTGGAATCACACCTTAAATGAAAAATATTTACATTTAGTAAATTTTGTTAACCTAGGTTACAAAGAGTTACAAAAAATGAGAGATGAAAACTTGGTGGACATGCCTGCAGTAATGCAATTAAAAGAAATAATGGTAGGTTGTGGTCAATATTACGCAGACTTCTGCAACGAACGCCAAAAAAATACGCAACTAGAGCAAAAGAATCGCTTTCTAACTAACAAATTACGTATTTTGGAGAACAATTTGCTAAATGTCTCAGAAGAACTAAACAAGGTACAATTCAAGGAAAAAAAACAAAAATCAAGAGCTAATCAATTGAAAGAAAAAACCCAGAACATCGGTGTCTCCGGTTTAGAGAATAACTTTGAGAAACAAGCTCTTGTACCGAGAATTTCATTTCATAAACCAGGAGGAGACATGGAGCAAATGGTATCGAATAGACTGTCGGTTACTGGATCAGCGTCATTGAATTTGTCTTCGCATTTGTCTCTAGTGAAGAATTTACTAAATGATCAAGATACAATGTTACGAGATCTAAAAAAACTTTCTGACGAACTTAGTATTAATGGATAAAACAATATTTAGTCTCACCACATTATATTGATATATCCACATGCACTTGCTGTTTGAAATGTGATTATTGATATCTAAAAAAAATGTGCGTTGTTGGACAATTTTATTGAATTAAAATTAAATTTGCCATAGTTTTTTTAAATGCTTTTTCTTAAGTTTGCGTACCTACTGACTACTGATATAATATCGACTATAATAATCTTCTCCCCGAGTCAAAATTAACTTGTTAGACAAACCAAAAAATACAATATTTGATTATTTGCTGGATTTCATTACTAACCATTTACAGGTGTCTATTAAGTCGACGACGTCAACCCGGACGGAGATGTCAAGGAGGTCATGACCTACAGAAAGCCTATGGTACTATATATAATATTTTCAACGGTTTTTTTTTTGAAGATTTTTTTATTAGATATATACACATTATGATTTTTACTTTTCTACACCTTTGGACGCGACTGTACTCAAACATAATTGTCTTTTTCTATATTTCTTTTTCTTTATATTATCTTAAATCAATCTGCTTTTTAATTAACTACGTGCTCAATTAAAAATGTCACTAAAAATATTTTAAACATACCAAGAAGTACGAAAAAGAACCATTTTTTCAAATTACTTAATGTTTAAAAAAAATTAAAAATGTGTGACACGCCATCTGCACTTAATTGTAAAAACTTGTCTACTTATTCATATAATTACTAAAAAAGTACGCAAGTACGGACAACAGCGCATCAGACTACACATTTTTGTTCGAAAATCGCCTCCAGTGCAACGGAACAAGATACGTCAATGTGTAGCTTGATGTGCTGTTGACGTACCTATCTATTTTACTTCTGGTTTTATTCAAAATTTAATCACACAGGTCGATATTATTGCAATAAATGGGATGTTTGCTAAAGTGTGAATAAACTAATTTTTTGTGATTTCAGTGTCTAAGATGGTTTGTACTACTGTAGCGGTGGTTTCTAATTTTAAATCAAGGACTAAAACATTTGAAAATTAAAACTGTTATTTTTTGGAACAATTGCAATTATTATACAGTTTTCACAGAAAATGTACGTGTTATAAAATCCTTAATTCAAAAAAACTGTTGGGAATATTACCACAGAACCATGGACTTTTTTTTACAGATCCTTAACATCCCCGTCCCGGCTTGCCGTCGACTTAATAGACACCCTGTATAGGTAGTGGGGTTGCATTGTGATGCAATTCATGAGATGCATAGCTTTTGACCTATATTCCGCAAACACACTGAAAATACATTGTGTTGATTGTGCAACTCATATTTATGTATGCCACATAATGTTGCAACAAATCCAGCCCTGTTCAATTTTTTTATTTTATCACGTAATAAAGTTTGTAAAATGACCACGTTTTACTCTTTATAGTCTAAACATTATTGTCATATTTACATTGACTTACAATATTTATAAAATAACGTTTTATCGGAATACCCATGATAACCGGGATTATTTATCATAAAACGAAAAGACCATGTCTAAAAATGTCAAACGCTGACGTCAACAACTAGAATATAGTAATCGGATTCGCTCTGGAACTTTTGGAGGGAAAAGTGTCGTTTTTATTTTGACTTTCAATTATTTTGTGAAATCTAGTTTAAAGTGGAATAGGATAGTGCTATTGTGCCTTAATCGAAGATTAAAACGCGAAATTATACGAATCTCGAACTAAAATACCCGTATCGGCCCGTTTTAAGGAATCCCGAGTCAATCCAAGCACGCCGCCTCAAATTGCCTATCCTCTTTGTGGCGGCCATATAATTACAGAAACATAATTAAACTTCAAGTTTAGGCTGATGGCTTTGCCAAAGCCTTAATAAAAAAAAATTAAAAAAATTAATATAGTAATCTGTGGTCAACAACGTCATTTCTGATATATCCACGGCCGGTAATCTACCTATAGAAAACCGCTCGCAATAGCGGCCATCTTTTTTAATGAATAATGACATTTGTCATTTTTGTTTCCTTGCTGTGATTGGCTGCTGCAGGCGCAGGTAGCCTTTCCGCCATCTTGGGTAGTGATCGTGGTATTTTACACTTTGTTATTGTTTTGTTAGTCACCTTGTAGTGGCTTGTAGCTTGTTTGTACAGGTTCGGATCGAGTGAAGACGTGACGTGCTTATCCTCTCCGTTAATTCTGTATTGTGTGTTTGTATTTTGTTTCATACAAAATGTACGAGTGCTGTGTATGTAAAAGTTCACGACAGGACGCTATTTTACATCATTTTCCTCGCACTGAGAAAATACTCATGAAGTGGTTAAAGTGTCTAAATCGTGATAATCTGAAAAAGTTATCACCAGAAGAACTTTCAAACGTTTTTGTATGTCAAAAACACTTTGAAAAGAGGTTTATTACGCCGAAATTACGTCTCATAGGCAGTGCATATCCATCTTTGTTTACCGAAGACGAGATTTCCTCTGGAATACCATCACAGGACAATGCCGGTAAGTTTTAAGTACAGACTTTACTATAGCCTTCTAATCGCTACGTCCTAACAGACTTTTAATATAAACTTAGCCCGTAGTTGCTTTGTAGAAATAAAATATTAATAACTATAACCGTCATCTAAGAAACAAATTCGCAATTGCCGACGTTGGTGTATCCAGCGTTAATAACTTATAACAATTTAAGTACTTACTTAATTTTAAAACTAAAGAAATAGTATTGAGTTTTGAATTCTTTGTTTATACCTGCATGTGTTAGTGTTTATACCCGGATGTGTCCTAGTTCGAAGGAATAACTTTTAATGTTATTAATATTAATTGTTTTATTTATTTTGCACTTACAGAAAACATGGATATTGATTTGGAGCATAGTTACTCGCGTAAAAGACACTTTGACCACACATACTTTCAAAGGGAACCACTAAAAGGTTAGTAATGCAGTTTGTATTACTGTAACATTTTCTAGTAAAACTGTTGAAATGGATTTATTGCATGTAAATTTATATTCTGACATATTGGCCCCTTTACTGGTTCGATATTATAGTATGCGATAATATAGTATACATAATGCTTGTTACGAATAAATAACAAGTTATTATTTTCAACTATCACCTATCACATTTATTCAACTCTCACTCATAAACACACAGAATACCAAAATACCTACAGGAGAGACTTGCATAAAATTATAGTGTGTAATTTCTCACGTTTCAGAAGTAATTGCCTCTAGCTCCAGTGAGTCTCAGAATGTGTCTGGCCCATCGCAAATCCCACCGCCTAAACAGGACTTAGGTAATGGAATTTTTTTGTTGGACTCAAGTTATAAGGGATAGTTAAGGTTTTAACGGTGTGTCAACTTTTCATTTTTTACACAATTCTGAAGCAACTTGTACTTATAGACCATCAGTGAGTGTGGACAAATGGTGCTACAATCCCTCCCACAATACCTCGTTTATTGTAGATGTTAATTATGTATGTTTATTGTGATCTATTTTATAAACATCATCTATCTGTTTTATATGATGGAAACATCTTGTTTCTCAACAGTACCTAATTATTTTTCAGTTAATCCTGTAATCATTGAACCAGTGATGAATGAAGCATTTCAAGCCTCTGGTAAGTAATTTTGAGTTATTATTGTTGTATTATTACCACATGAATATGTTTGCAATGAACCTTTATTTACTCCATGCTGGATATGCAGAGGTCCTGAGTTTGTTCCCAGTTCAGACATTAATTTTCTTTGTCTAATAACCTTATGTATAGTCGAAAATAAATGTTTGGTTTTTCTCTTTGCAACTGCTCATTCAACAAACTTGTAACATACAACATAATATGTAAGTGTGCAGCTGCATATTGTTATAATGTTTTACATTCCATAGTACTTGACTTCATCATTCACTTTTGTGTTTTCCAGTCTTGGATACAGTCAGAATTGCTAAGGATCCGAAACCTATGAGAAGACGTTTAATCACGAAAGCAAAAGATTTGTCACCAACATGCAAAAGTATTTATAAAGAATACAAAAAAGTCTAAACAGCAGGCCGATTTTCTTCGAAGAGCTAAGAGAGCCCTTCAGTTTAATAAGAAAATGTCGTTCGAAAAATTAACAAATAAAATGAATCCTTATATTGAGTTGTTTTATTTATTTTATTTTATCGTATTATTTTATATAAATGAACTGGAACCCCTAACCAATTTTTTTTTTTTTAAGTCTGGATGTATACGTTCTGCTCCTTTGCAAGACAATATCGTCTACCTATTAAAAAAAAAATGGAATGTCAGTCGACATTAGTATCACAGATTAAAAATAATTCTTACTACTGAAAAAAAAGTACTACAGTGCGCAGTCTGAACGTAGTTCACTAAGTAGTCTGTGGATATATCATTTTGCAACTTTAAACTCTACTATGATTGAAATAATGTCGCTATCTGCTTTCCTAGGAAAGAAATAATCTGTTCTGCCTGTGAAGTTTTGTGCGCTAAAACGTGGAACTTTATTTTTTCAAGTTAAACATATATTTAGATTCTATAAATAAGTGTAATAAATGCTCGTGAGAGGCATTCTACCAAAGTGCATTAATATCAGTATTGCAAGCTCCGCTTCTTTGAGTAGTGCTTTGAAAACAAACATGTCTTTGGAACAAGCTAAACAAGTAGCGGCGTATCAAGCCGTAGACGAATTTGTTACAAACAACTGTACATTTGGCATAGGCAGTGGTTCTACCGTGGTGTATGCCGTTCAACGCCTCGCAGAACGTGTGGAGACTGAACGATTGAACGTGACATGCATCCCAACATCATTCCAAGCAAAACAACTTATTCTTAAGCATAACCTTACTTTAGGAGAATTAGACACAAGTCCTGTAATCGATGTAACTATCGACGGTGCTGATGAAGTGGATGCTAGCATGACATTAATAAAAGGAGGTGGTGGTTGTTTGCTTCAAGAAAAAATTGTGGCTTCTTGTTCAAAGAAAATGATCGTCATAGCAGATTACACAAAAGATTCTAACAAATTAGGTGACAGATATAAAAAAGGAATACCAATTGAAGTCGTTCCTTTGGCATATGTTCCAATAAAAAACAAGGTGATAGAATTGTATGGTGGTGATATTAAACTCCGGAACGCAGTGGCTAAAGCGGGGCCCGTGGTCACCGACAATGGCAACTTCATCCTAGACTGGCTTTTTGCAAATCAGGACTTGGACTGGGAGAAAGTAAGCACCGCTATTAAAATGATACCAGGAGTTGTAGAAATAGGCTTGTTTGTTAAGATGTGCAATAAAGCTTATTTTGGACAACCAGAAGGAAATGTTGTTGAAAGAACCAATTCGTCATTGTAATGAATTAAGAACATACTTTTACCGGGTTATGAATCTTGAAATTTTATAATTAAAATAAGTATAAGCACTTGTTATTATCATATGGTTAATTTTTGAACTCTTGTTTCGGACCATTTGTTTTAAAGTGTGTTTGTTTCTTTTAGTCTATAATCCTCATTTATACTAAGTCATCTTACAGATACAATTTTTACAGTGTTAACAGACTTTTTATAAATCATTAATAAAAATGCAAAAATTTTTGATGTATTTTATTATAGTTAGGAAAAATATTCATGTCTAACATGTTAGTAAGGAACCTTAAGAAAAGTTGTGCTTAAAAGGATTCAAAATCCTTTAACTGACCAAAACAGTTACAATACTGACTGAACTACAATGAATATTAAAAAACCCTTAACTGAATATGTTTTTATAAGCTATGTAACAATAAAAAACATAATAACTAGTACAGGTGCGTGAGATTGAAATAACTTGGAAAATTGTTTAGATCAACAAATCAAGTTTCTACTTTTACCCTATAATATCTATTTTTATCATAATTAAGAGTATTTACTAAAAAGTACAACTGATATTGGCAACTGATATTTAATTTTCAAAATGGTTTCCTTAAAAGTACATTATTTTTGTAAGTAAAAATTATTCAGAATTAAAATATGCTCTTTTACAACTAAAACATAGATCTTAAAGAATTTTCAAATTAAATAGATCACATTTTATCCTCTGTTTTGGACCTTCTGCAGTCCACATTTGCAAAATCAAAATTGTGTGTTGCAAGTAAATTTATGTGGAAAATATTAAAGTTATGTTTCAATCAATAAATGATTAAGATATCAAGGTTTGAAATCTAGAACAAATTTTTTGTCATTGTACTTTTTAAGTAATAATACTTATAAAAATACTGGTTGGTCGGTTTATATTTTAGACTAAAACAATTATGTGAAGATCTAAAATCAAATCTAATCATCAGCAAGAATGTCACATAGGATATCTATATGTATGTATATGTGTAGCTTTTATCAAATTCAATTCATAGGAAGTGTATGAAAAATACGATTTTGAGATTTCAACAATTATATTATAATTTTCTGTGTGCATTGAATACCATTGACTATACTATACAATATGGATGAACAACACCCTTTTTTGGTATGTCTCGATTTACTCGAAATTAAATCTAGATACTAATGGTACAACAAATTGTAAAACAACCAAATGTGCCTAATTTGAAATTTGAACTACTAGAGCAAACTTCTTTTTTTACTTCACCGTCAACTAATTCACACAAAGATTAGTCATAAATTTAATTCTCAACTTGATAAAATATAATTTCATATATATACTGGTAACAGCCAGGCAATTATTTTTTTTTGTTATGTAACACATTATAGACCTTATAAATACGATATGTAAGGTTGAAAATAAAAAAATCAAATTGTCTATTAGGTTTTGTTACTAGCAAATGTTACACATCTGTTGATAACCTGTAATACTTCCCTCCTTGTCATAGCTAACGCTTTCATTTCATTTTCATTTCATTGCATTTCGGTAACTTTCGAGATATTGGCACCTTAGAGGATGAAAACTAAGATGGGCACCTATGGCTTTAATGTCAACTAAAAATAATGTCTATTTTTAGATTTTGCTTTTATCTAAATTAAATCTAAAGTTAATTTGTATTCTAGCATTAACTAACTTTAGTAGATATTTAAAACTATAGATGAGAACATTCGGATAACGTAAAAAATATAAAGTATTAAATCTCGAAAATTTGAGGTATGTCACCATAAACAAAAAGTATAAAATACAAATCAGTTATGCAAAAATAAATAAACATTTTAGGAATGTTTAATGAACATTAACATACAATTATGATAATTGTTGAAAACAGTAAATTGTTGTTGAAAAGATAACAAATCGAAAGTTTCTCAGTGGAATACTTTTTGATTTGTTAGTTTGTTCGTTCAGGATGCGTGGAGGGATCAGGGGGAGGCCTTTGCCCAGCAGTGGGATACATCAGGTTGTAATCATAGTTTGCAATAAATTGTACAGATGCCATTTCTTTAAATTTATTCTTGAAATTAAATAACGTTTAGCACTAGCATTTACTCTAAAATATTAAAAGTACAGACTTTGCGATTTTATTATATGTTAGTGTATAACACCTAAACAAGAGCAATAACCTTAACAAAAATGTAATAGCTGCCATCTGTTGGCCTTTTCGGATATTATTACAATCGCATTGCGGGTTAGTTGGTACCATCTATTGACCAGTATTATATCAAAATAAGCGTCCGAACAAGTGGAGTTACGAGCACAACATTTCTTGGTATGAGATTGGGTATCTGTGCTAGTGGAACATTATATATTATTTGTGCTGATACCAAATACGATAGGTACCTATTAAAAAACCGTTTCGCTGATCCCACGTTAGTTATGATGAGGGCAGAATGTGACTCATCAAATTTATGACTAAAAAAAATTCATAAGACTACTGTTAACTTAATACAAAATTTGTGTTGATTTAACCATAACCTTCATCTTAAAGATAAAACATATTTAATGCTTTGAAGAGCAATTCCACAAACAAATAAATGCACAAAATATATTTTATTATTTATAAAATCTATTAATAATATTGATGAATATGGAAAATATTCCGATCAATACTGAATAGAATAGTTTGATGTTGTGATTTTAATTTTGGCAGTGGTGAGAACTGATAGGTATATGTAGTTGTATGTGTTTAAATTATGCCTGCAAAGGTATCTTACATTTGGTTCTGTATTGAGAGTGCTTTATACATGATCACTTGGTGCAAGACTTAACACCCTTTAATATCCCACCATAAGATACTTCTGCCTGCAGATAATCATAATTAGTATCTAGTAGAGACTGGTTTTCTTCATAATTCGTAGGAATTCTTCTTGATTGATCTCTCCATCTCCATCTCTGTCTGCCTCATCAATCATTTCATGTAATTCTTCATCTGTTAAGTTTTCTCCAAGTTCCTTTGCAACCCTTTTAAGATTTTTGAATGATATCTTACCTGAAAAATTCATTAGTCATTCATTGGTACTGTTACTGCAATTCACTGGCCTTACTGCAAGAATCAAGTGTTCTCAAAATGGAAATAAATATAATAAGGGTATGAAATTGCTGTTTTTCATAACAAATTTCAATCAAGAAGTTTTAGAAAACAATATTTATTTAATGAGAATCTACACTTGGCAGCACATCAATCTACACTTTGATTGGTCTTGTTGTGTAGCACTAGAGGCAATATTCAATCAACAGTGTATAGCTTGATGTGCTGTTGAGTGTACACTCATGCTTGGTACTTGATACATTTCTGCCATCTTAGTACTAATTGACAGCAAAATCTTAGAAGTATTTTTTACAACTTAACAGGAACTAACTTGTTTTCCTTGTAGATAATCATCTAAATGAGGGAAGAAACACTTAATAGAGGCCAAATCATGTGCATATGAAGGGCACTGAAGTAGCTGAGTTTGCAAATAATAATAATTTTGATAGTATTAAGAAAAAAATGCTGTATGATGGAGATGATTTATTTGATACTGGCATTATTGTGTAAATGTAGCAGTGATGAAATTTGCTTGTTATAAATATATTAGACAACATGACATATGTTGCTCTGATCCCAAAGTAAGTAATTGAAGCATCTGTGTCATAGAAATAAAAAACAAAGAGTTACCACACCCAGACCCGAGACAATATAGAAAAATCAGTTTGTCTACATTAACCTGGCCAGGGATTTATAAGTCCGTTATGATTGAGTCAACAATATAATTCTATTTTGAGTGTGTTAATTACTATTCCTCACCTGTTTCATCATCATCAAAAAGCTTAAAAGCTTTCATGATTTCCTCTTTGGTATCTTTCTCAGCCATTTTCACTGTCATTAACTCAAGAAAGTCTTCAAAAGAAACTTTACCATCTCCTTTATCAATTTCTGCAATCATTTTTTTTATTTCTTCCTTTTTAGGCTCAAAGCCTAGTGCTCTAATAGCCACTTTTAATTCCTTCGCATCAATTTTCCCTGTATTTTCTGTGTCAAATAAATCGAAGGCTTCTTTTATATCTCGACGTTGTTCTTCCGATACTTCAAATTTTGGTCCAGACTTCTTTCGAACTCCTATAGGTGGATTATTAGAATTCACTGACTTTTTAGGCACAGTAGATACCGCTGTTGCCTAGAATAAAAGTATTCAATAATTTTACATAAATATTTTACTGTAATGTGTTGTTGTGTAGTGTATCAAACACAACAACAATCCAACAAAAGGTATTAAAAATGTACGCAATGCGTACCATTTTCATATATAGATATTACTTCAATTTGTAAAGTTTTGTATATTATTTAAATTAGGAAAATACACTTGTTTACTTTTAATGCAATTTAAAATTAATTTTTAAATTATTTACAAATAAAAACAATCGATCGATACTAGGCCAAAGAGAGAGGTGCTAAACCAATACTATTTAAGCATTGACAATGACGGTGACTACCAGTTACATTTTATTCATTTCTGTTATTTTCAAGTCAATCTACTTTGTATATTGAAACAAAAGTTTCGGAACAAAAAAGAAAAATTACTCGACTAAAACAAATTACACAAAAATCTATAACACCTCATCAAATAAAAACACTTTGCTTTGTATCAAATACCAGCTCCTTTCCTACACCAAAAGAAATCACTTTAAGGGCATCTCTATTTTTGACGTAAGATTATAGTTGCATTCAGTTAGTGACTTTATTTATGGTTGCGTTCGTACGTGGTATACGTACGAATTTTCACAACTAATGTTACTGCTGGCAGCTGGGATTAATAGCAACACCACTTGGGACTAAGTATGATATCACAGGATGGAAAAAAATAAAGAAATATAATTTCTGCACAAAATGCCAAATAACAGGAAAAAAGGCTAAGCGCTATACTGCCGTGCTTACAATATTATACAGACTTACAGTTCTTATTTACGATAAGTATTTGCCAGTGTTGGGTAATGGAAAAATTTCAACTTTTTTCCGGATATTTTTCCACATTTGACGTTAACATCTGTCAAAAGTTGAAGTTACTGAACGAAAATGATGGAGCCAACAAGTTAGTGGTGGTGGTGTGGTTGTTGGTTTTTTCGCTGTTGTGAAATTCATTTTAAATGTCATTTTTCTATTATGTGGCCTATAAATAAACTAGTTTACTTTATAATTCGGGCTAAATAAAACTTAAAACGATATTTCTAAATGTAGAACATAATATGAGCCTTCCAAATTATAATATTCCAATTTTTCGGGATTTTTTCCGGAAAAATTTCCTCTATTTGAAATTTTTCGGAAAATTATCCAACAGTATCGTAAGCATGGCAGCCGGCAGTATAGAAAATCTTGGTTTTTAGTTTATCAAATTTTTACAAGATTCGCCGCCAGATGACGCGACGATGCGATACAAAACAAGCTATGCTATGTAAATTTTATCTTCTACGTGTAATTCTTTATAGAAAAACCAGAAGAGAAGATACAGTAAAAGGTGCAGTAAAGTCTGAATATTCTGGGTAGTGCAGGGTGTAAGGCGCACACGGCCGAACGCCCCTCGCGACGCTTCCCTAAGATACTAGGATATATTTGAAAATGACAGACTATTTAGTAGCTTAGTGATTATTTATTGCAATAATTTAAACTACGTGACACTGTATTGGACTACTCACAAAATCAGCTAAAACCCTTAAGGCTCACATAAAAAATTTACATGTAACTCAATACAAACAAAATCTCTTGAAAATCTACTTAGGTTCTTAGTTCTAATTAGTCAAGTATAACAAGGCCGCTTACAACACTGTAGCAAAATTAAGAATATAATTTGTTAATTACTGCATTAAATCATCTTCCTAGGTTAGTAACAAAGATTTAGTAAGTATTTAGTACTTTAATCGACGTAAAATAAAATTATTATTTTTTATCTATGGTGCAGTTGGAAGTGTTCCAACGGATTTCATAAGATGGTAGCAGTGAGGTAAACGACTCCGATGGCCAATTTTTTGCAATGTGGCGGCTGCCTGTGCTAGCATGCCGGCACGTTCGCCTGGTGCAGCAAGTACTGCTGCGGGAAGGTGTTTACATGCCATGTACAATGCTACAGCACGCTCGCCTTCACCGCCCCCGCCTTCTAGCGCGCGTTCTGGAATATTACAAGGCATAATTTTAATAAGTGTGACTGTATCTGTATACTTCATTGAGTGGCAGGTGTGATGACTCCTTAACTAGATCATAATAGATTATGATCTAGTTAAGGACGGCTAAAGAGTTTCAAATGTGATTTTGATTTTATTGAACATCATGATGTTTTACATGCATGCATTGCAGTGGCGAGACGTGCATATAACTCGATTCCCACCGGCTTGCCTAAATTATTCCGCGTACCTATTACCAGTGGCACCGCGCATACCCCACCACTTAAAAACATTTATTTAAAATATTCATTATTACTTAAATGCGTAATAACTTGTTCGGATGCATCTCGACCAATCAGCGCGAGGTAAGCCGGTGGATCTGCGAGTTCTATTTCATTCATGAAATCTACGCGCTCTCATCAAAATATACGCACACATTCGCAAAAATCCGCTATATAACATCTAAATAAATGGCGGCCGAGAAGCCGCAATGGTTCCAGTTATTGTCGAATAGCGTTCACTTAAATTTAAACCAACAAATTATAATTACATTTGTTTTAATGTCAGAATCGTTGCCAAATGTAGAATTTTTTCAAATAATGTAACAAAATTATTATAATAGCAAATTAATACAAAATATGGTTAATTTCTATTTTGTAAATCTTAACGATACATAAAGAAAGAAATAAAGAAGTTTATTCACTGAATTGAAACACTACACACTTATATCTAAAATTACAACTAAAAAGAAAACAACAAGTGACTTATTAATTTAATTTAGTAAGTGTGCGTAGTGGCTCAAGTGAGGAAAAGGATACGACTCAGCAATATGTCTATCTCGATCGAAACAGACGCTGATTTTTAGTCGTTCCTGTATCGGCGTCGACTAAGTCCCGAGGAAATGGTACATGTATATCCTTCCTTTTAAGCCCTACTACACATTTACGACACACGTATATATTTAAATAAAAGTTATAAATATATGTAAATATCATTAATAAGTTGGGAACATCCGGCATCAGAGCATACGCTGGTTTTCTATTAACACTTTTTTAATATGTTTTTTAAACGTTGATTTAGAGATCCTTTGTCTGAGTGGAGGAGGCAGATTGTTCCAGCATTTAGATGCCTGATACCGGAAACTACCCTCAAAGGCTCTTGTTTTATGAAAAGGTGTTACCAATAGAAAACTATTTATCCTGCGTGAATTATATGAATAAGTATGCCACTTCAATTTTGAATATAGATAAGGTGGACTTTTGCATCTGACAACAGAGTGCATCAATGTAGAAAAATGCAAAATTCTTCTCGATTCCATATTCAGAATACCGTGTTGGTTTAATACAGGTGTTATGTGACTTCTCGGTGGAACTCTATAACAAAATCGTATGCAAGCGTTTTGAATACGCTGTATTACCTTTTTTGATGTGGAGAGAAGACAAGGTCCGAAAACTATATCAGCATAATTTAATTTTGATAAAATAAGGGAATCACACATTTTCAGTCTAATGTCTTCGCTGAGCAAATGACGAATTTTGTATAGCACTTTTAGTCGAAAAAGGCAAGATCTCGCAACAGACTCTACATGGCTCAGAAATCGCAACCTGCTGTCCATAGTAACACCTAAATTTTTGGCTTGGTTAACAAATTCGACTGACGATCCAAGAATGCTAATCCTAGGATCCTGTAAAAGGACGCTTGCTATCTGGTATTTTGAACCTAGAACCATAAACTTTGATTTAGTTGGATTCAGAACCAAAGCATTGTTATTTGACCATCGGGCGATGCTATCGAGATCAGAGTTGATCCTAGAAAGGAACAGTTTCAAATCCTGTGGACGTGTGTGAATATAGATTTGTACATCGTCCGTTTGAAGACTTAAAGGCGTTGCAAATTTGAGCTAAGGGCGCAAGGCAATACACACAGAAGTGGACAACGTGGGAACATGGGACCTTTGGTAATTTCTGTACTTACCCTTTCCGCAAATAATAGAAGAGCGGTTGAGGCGCGGACGCAGACTGCCATCGAGCAACTGCTGCGTGCGGCGCGGCGCCGCTCCTGCCATCATGCGGCACACCGCCGACTGCAGGAACACGCGGGATGTCGCCCACTGCACATTACACAAACGTACAATTTTATTTTAATACGTCCTACTGCAAGGCCGGGGTCTCCTCCAACGCAAGGGTTTATGCCATAGCCCAATGCGCTGGCCACTATGAGGGCTTCATTATGTCTTCGAAAATTTTATAAAACTTCCACAACATGGTAATTTGGTCACGTTTTCCTTCACTGTCATAGTAAGTCATCGCGCCTCACCACGATGCGTGTGCTGGGTAGAGTTGCCAATTTGTAGGAAATTCTCCAAACTGCGGGGATTGGAATAACGCGGGATTTTTACATTTTACCATTTATTACTCTACTCATAACTGACACACCGATAGTTGTTGATAAAAAGACATCAATTACGATGAATATTATTAATATATTTTTTGCAACATCACACACCACTTGTTTGTATAGAAACACTATACAAGTGTGAGACGTGTTCTCAAATTTATAAAGTCATTTACTTATTCTTCTTCTTCTTTTAAATGTTATGGCTCCATCGAAATAATCAATGATTTTGCCAATGTCAAGTAAAAATAACTATGTACGGTAGTTTAATATTATTATAAAAATTATACAAAAAAAATGGCGATTTCGCCAATGTCCTGTCATTCACTTATTGTATGCGTTGCCATTTACGAAGATGTGGCAAAAAACAAAGACCGAATAAAAATAAATATTACTGTTTGTTTTACTAAATCTTGATTTTTTTTTCTCGAGACAATTATGTGGGGAATTTTTGGTCAATAAGTACTTTGTAAGCGGAGGCGGCAGACGACTCTGTTTAACGGCGAGTCGACTGTGTCGCCTTCGGCCAGAGCGAAGTAGTTTGCCGAAAGCTATAGAAGACTAGATGTAAACGGCGAGTTGACCACGTCGCCTACGGCAAGATGAAGTAGTCTGCCGAAGGCGGCAGACGACCCGATGTAAATGCGCCATTAACAATACTAACCGGTAAACTCTGTGATAATCTCCTTAGTGAATGTAAATCCCTCTGGAAAGCACGTAACTGTGAAGGCGGAGCGGGATTTGAACCTGACGCTTCCCAAACACCTGCGCGCACTTCGAGCACCCAATCGCAGCATAACACTTGCATTAGCTGATATATGAAATAAGATACATTAAATTGGCATTCTGACGGCAGATTAACTCTGATATTACTGTTAGTTCACATATTATCATTATGTTCATATTCAAAGTTAGATACAGTTGTACGCCAAAGTCGTTACTGAGCGCAACAGAAGATAAAAAACATAAATAACACGTGCATAGTGTAATTAAATAGTACCTACCATCGAGTATATAACCAGAAATAGAGACGAAATAAAGGGCCTCCACCCCTGGCAACTCTTCAGGCAAATGGGCCTTATATCACTTTTAAATATCAACTCTCGTTTGCACTGAAATCACAAATTAGAGAGCTGAAATAGTACAGCGCCAACATCTGACCTGTACGTATTTGTTGTAATAAAGATAATATATCTAACAATGGAGGGCTGTTCCACTCGGTGGTGTGAGAAAAACAGCAAAACATCTAATTACAAAACAAACGGAATCACATTTCATCGGTAATGAAATATTAAATATGTGATTTTTCAATTTTCGCCCATTATAGCAAAGCTCAAGTTACACTGGTCGTTTTGAAGTGAAACAATTGACGACACCCGTCAATTTTTTCGAATGCGGGCTGGCCAATCGGAGCAAAGTTGTCACCGTAATGATTAGACAGAATAGTTTTCAAACAAATTAAATGACATTTCGTCTCTACTTCTGGTTATATACTCGATGAATAGTACTAATGCAGTGTACAGTTGACAAGCTTTTTTTTTAGTGGTGGTTTTGGCATTGACTTTTGATGTCAATATTTCTGCCGCAGTTAGTTGAAAGGGCGCATATGACATTTTTAAATGTTATACATACTGCCGTGATCAGTAAAAAAGGTGGGTCACTATTTTTATCACAGTTTAAAATATTTTGAAATTACAGGGACATGGGACTTGTCAATTGTCTCAGGGTGACAAGCGCAGTGGCAGTGCCCTACAGATCTCTGTGGTTTAAAGCTCTGATTGGCACTGCAACTGTTATGGACAGACGTGTCACTACCAAGCGCACGACTTGTTCGTCCTATCACTTGGTATCATAAAAAATTTGCACGAGTATAACTATGGATTAAAAAGTTATCTATATACACAGTGCGGTGTTCAATAGTTAAAACTTCGTTTAACAAAATACTAGTGACGATGCAATAGGCGCGTGTTTATATTAGGCGGACTTCCGAGTATTTTGACTAATTAAATAAAAATATAAAATAGCACTACAAACATTAATGTGAAGAGAGAAGGGACATATTAAGGGGTGAAAATATTACAAAACAAAATAGTTTTGTATGTAGAGCCAGTAATTGTAAAGACGGTGTGCTGATCAATATCTTTATACAATGTTATTGCAATAATGCGGAAACTTGTAATTGAGGCTATCAGCGTAAAAGTGGTGTAACCCCATAAATAGCATACAAAAGATATTGAGGAATTTAAAATTAGCCAAATTAATTTTATGTATAACGGTCGGAAAAAGGTGTTCCACATATATGTGTAGGTATAGGTACTAGGGGCGACATAGAGTTGTTAAAACCACTAAATATTAATTAGTGACTATTTCGAATTCCGTATTTCCGGAAATGGTTTTACTACATCGTAGGGCAAACTACTGACCTAGGAAGTCGAAGTTGGATTTTAAAGTAATTCTAATGGTGCCATGTAAAAATGCAGTAGATAACTGACGTTATACCAAAGCAGAGTATAAATAAAGTACCGAGAATGGTCACTCTCTGCCCTTCCGTACCTTTAGACCTACCTACCTAGCGACCTAGCAGAAATGTCGTATTTTAAAAGGAAAATGTTCACACTAGATTATTATAATACTTTTTATAAAAAAAGACTTCTGGACGATTAAACATGACGAAAAAGTACCAGTTTTGACGGCCTTGCCCGTGTACTTCTATTTGTCTTCATAAAGACTTCTAGCTATATTTATACATGTTATATATGTGGAACACCTTTTTCCGATCATTGGTAATCACATGTGATCAATGTGATTATTACTATTTTTTTATATACCAATGTAGCATCCAAATATATAAATAATTATGTAATTTAGTACCATTTAAAGTAACATTGTAGACAAATGCGTATGTACCGTTGGTATAATGTATGTAGCGTTATTCTAACATTAAATGTGTACAACCACTTTTGCGCTAATAGCTCGATGATGGATATCTTTGCTAAGGGTTATTTTTTGTTACTACATTCCGAAATCTACAATCGCGTAAACATACATCTTTTACCATAGATGTTACAGATCAAAATAAAGCTTTTAAATTCCATAAATAAATAAATGACACGATAACAAAAATAGAAGATAAGTGTAATATAAAAATCTTCAACGATAAATGAAGCTTCGATGCGATGAAAGTGACTAAAGCGAGATTTGCTTTGTAGTAATATTGCACAATCATGGTAACGAGTGCAATGCAACTACAATGCACTCACACAATAGCCTTGATGGATCTTCCAAATAACAAATCACATGGTGCCCAATAATTCTTCTGCATGCTTCTTGCAACTAATAAAAAAAATCAGTGTAAAAATAAATATATTATCAAACTTTATAAAATGTAATATATACCGTCATCAATTGTGTGGGCTTCTTGCAACAATAGTACGCCAAGGAGTCTGCTAGCCTGGCTCCAGCAATGTCGCATACCTATAATTCACAAGCGTTAGGTAATTAGTTTTATGTCGTCATTGGAGAGGCAAATAGTCTAAAGAGCTTGCAATATCGACATTTTCAGAAACCGGTCTGTCAAACCTTGCTACAGCACCGGTGCTTGATATGCCACAGGTATTTTTCAAGAACCAGGCCATTAACCTTGCTACGGTACTTCAAAAAAGATAGACTGTCTAGTCTATCTTTTTTGAAGACCGAGTAAAATGACAGTTCATTGCGCAAAAGTGTTGTCAACTTGCAAACAACTACTGATTGCAATCGATAAATATTCCATCGACTATCGATTGAATATTGGTCACGCTTATGGAATAAATAGCCGAACTTGTTTCAATTGAATCATCCTCGACCTTATTCATCCAATTACTGAGCAAAAGTTCATTTAAATTGACAATTTTTGTAAGTTCATACATACATGCACTGTATTTAAAACTATATTTATGAAAAAAACAAAGAGGAGACATATTTTACAGTTTTTCATTTCAATTCAATACAGATAATCAAATCCGGCTATTCTTGTTAAAATGTATATGAATAAAAATTGATCTCGATACTAGGTAGGCCAACTGTCAAAATAAGAACAATGAAGGCAATAACGCAATTAGTAATCGTTGGAACATAGTAACTTTCACAATACAGTAATTTTTGGCAAAAGTTTATCTTCTTTCACAATCTATCGATAACAACTTCATAACTATTTAAAATAATATAAAAACTGACAGCCCTACCGATGCTATTTTACTCCGTCTTCAAAAAAGACGGACTATAGATGCACTCAATTCTAGGTAATTATACATGTGATTGGTTTGTTCGCCTCATCGCTTAGTTTCATACTGAAGATTCACGAGTACAAATGGCGATGCAATAAAAAAATACTTTCGAATTCTACGCGCGGCGCGCCAACATGCCTCCGTGTCGGCCGCAGCAAAACATAGCGAACTGGCATTGTCGCGGGAACCTTTGGTTAAATATATCCCTGTTCTCAATTGGTACCGGTATTTAGGTATCGAAATGGGTATTTAACTCCATTCACCATAGGGTATTTATATTAATAACATCCAGTATATGGTATTTAACTCCAGAGTACCATACTCTTAAGCAAAAAGCACTAAAGTGCTCAGTTTGCTATAAAATATAAAACCCGGACAGATTGATGTGAAAAATCAAATCCAAACCAATGGACTAAGGGCCCTAGTAGTATGAGACGGGTGTGGCCATACAGGTTAGCACATTGGGATGAAATGCGACACCTTTGCATCATATCCCTGACAGGTTTGCTTTATTTCAGAAGACTCGTCCTAGCTGTGCTGATGCTGTAGTCGAGACCTTCCGTTTGGGTATGGATATTATATACCTTTCTATGATGTACCCAATGGAAGAGCAAAAGCGTGTTACGTAGAGCCAGGTTCGACTATGTGCGCCGCATAGGTTGCCTCTTCCTGCTGGATAAGCAGTTAGAAAATCCTTTTGGTATCTGGCCAAAGCGATCGAAACTAACTTTTGTCGCCCATCTTTGCCACCTCTGCTGAGGCCGGACAGCACGCTGGCCATACTGCAAAAAAGAAGGCGAATCTTTTTCACTTTTTGCAGAGTTCGCGTCTGGATGCCGCAGGGAATCTACTACCTACCTTACCTCAGGCTGGCTGCACTATGGTGTCGGTTCGCATATGCCCAAAAAGAAGTACTTAGAACTCTGCGGAATCTAGACATGAGTAAAGCTGCAATTGGATCTCGAATTTCTTGGGGAACGTTCGATTCAAGTGGTCTTAGAGTACTCTTCCGACCATCGGGCGATAGATTTAGAGTTCCTCAGGTTCCGTACTGTCTGCAACTCTCCTTCTGCTGCATATCAATGATATGATAAATCCAGTTACCTTTACGTATGCTGATGATAGCACAGTTATAGATAGGTATTTGACCAATGCAAGGTTCAGTGGAAAGGAAATCAAGTTTTGTTGAGAGTCCATGGTTGGCCATTTGGATTTGACACCTAAGGCAGTCTCCGATTAGGGCGAGGCCAGTATTGTCAAATTTAACGCTACCAAAACGTCTCTGCTCTCCACAAAACGGAGTAACTTTTTGTGATATATCCATACCGACAGCCGACGATCACCTTGGATTAATTGACAACCGTGTCAAGAGGCTCACAGACGACTCGGAATGAGTGAAGGCGAAACGGCAGCGCCTTGAACACCGCCGTAAAGTTGACTGCTTATCGGTATCTTGCAGGATATATCACGGAGTGTGCAATGGAATTAACATTAAATTTGTGAAAAAAAAGTGGATTTAATTCCGTCTTCCCCTTACCGTCACCGGGGGATTAAACGTAGGCTTGGGTTCCACCCCTAAGGTGTTGGATAATAATAATAATTGGAGTAGAATTTCCTGCTGATTTGCTCCCTGAACGTTATAACTTCAAGGCGAGAGTAAACAGGTGTGCATGCTCCATCGTCGACCTCATCGTCACTTTCCATCAGGTGAAATGAAGGTAAAATGCGCACTTATATTATAAAAAAAGAAAAACAGTTTTAAACCTCTTAATTGGCAAGATTTGAATATCAATCGGAATCTTATTACAGAAACGCATACATTGCCCCTTAAATGATTTTGCGACTTTATGAAGACGACTGCCAAGAGCTAGTTTATTTTTATTTCCCGTATTAATATTGAATTAAAAGTATGGCAAACAAATGCAACTTTTACATTTAAGTACCAGTTACAATTACAGAAAATATAGAATAATATAATACTTACCTTGAGAACTGTTTCGGATGTCCTCGCAATGGAACGTTCATCTCGACACTGAGCGAGGCTTAACAGGCCACGGCGGCTTTTGTACGCCATATGCAGGGCCCTACGTATAATAGACAATAGCTATATTTTCGTCATTATGTTTATTCTACCAAGACAATAGTTATTAATACCACAATTATAAACTATACAGTAGTGTTTAATAAACACGGCATTGACCAGAAATTCTAACTCGGCATACATGTGAGAATCGTCGCATTGTTAGCACACGGTGACATAGCTGTGAGTAAATTCTTTGTCATTGTTTGACATTTAGAATTAATGCCGCATTGTCACCTGGGCTCTGGATAGGTGAGGATAACTTATTATATTAATTCCATACGTGTGCGTAGTTTCTAATATTTGTAGTAGGTACCTTTGTTAATACATTTTTATTTTCACACCAGCTAAAATTTAGCATATTTTTTTAATAAAAAAATTTATTACACATGCGGCACCCTGATAGTCTAATCTAAAGCATCAGCCGTTATGTTTTTTATATTCACAGCCATGTCGAAATCATTATCGATTGTGTACACATAGAAATACATTAGAATAGTGTACATTTCGTCTGTTTAAAGGTAAAACCACATAAGTGACAATTTCCACAAAAAGTCTTTAATTTATGTAGCTATGGTAAGAAAATCACTATTTTTCTACACGTGAAACTAAATAACAAAAAAGTTATAAACGTAGTAAGAGTTCTGCTGCAGAGAGATGGTGAATTTCTTATAACTGGTACATAATTTGGAGATTATTTGTAGAAAATGTCACTTATGTGGTTTTACCTTTCAGCAGACGATCTATTTCTACGGAATTTTGTGGATTTCTGAGCATATTGTTACCCAGGTAATGGATCTTCCGAGTTAGCCAACTGTTCTGGTAGCAAGTTGAGTCGGTCTCCGATATCAGCAGCGCTCTTTATGTCCGCAAGCAGCCACGTGGCAGCGACACCGACCATGTTAGCCCACCATTCCATTACAGGGTCCCAGCAGCCTGAAAATTTATTTCAATCAAATTTCAGCACGCTAAACGTTTATAAAACTGTGGACTCTTAATATTTCATTTTTTCACAAGGATCTACGTCCAAACGTTTCAATGTGTTACGTATTTACCACCAGGCGCATGACTTCTTCGTCCCATCACTTGGTATCGAAAAAATTAAAAAACACCAGCAGGATTTTCTTTACACTCTTTGGATACTCATGAAAAAGTGAATTAATCCTAACAATAATGAAATAATATTAAATTACCAGTGTGCTGAGGTGCCTCGGTGGAAACGTCATCGGTGATCAGCTTAACAAGGTCAAGCACATCACGTGTGTTGCTTCGCTCGTCGGCGCAAAGGAGCATTTGCAAACTCTTCTGCAGCAGTTCAAGATGGTAAGCCTGGAAATTGCCATAGATATGTGAGCAATAGTAGACATTTATTTTCTTTTCAAAGCATGTAATCTGAATTTTAAATATCTAAAATTGGTAGACTTTCTTGCGTGTCACTTGAATTTTGCTTAAAACTTCGCTTGCAGATTATTTCTCACTTCCAAAACTAGTCTTTTTTAAAAACACTGTTTTAATTTTTTTTTTAAGAAATAATAATATAACTTTTTGAATAAATACATTGTATTTTTCATGATCGACAACTTTAATTTCATAGAAAAGTAATTGTAAAACAATTAATTACCACTTCTTAAATACATATGTAACTATCGCGAGAACAATAGGAGGGTTAGTAACTTTGTTTTATAATAACTCTGCTGCTAAGTGCATTTTGTTGAATGTTATCGCTCCAAACTATTATATTATGTATAGGCAGATTATGGTTATATAAACACCTCATAGAATAATGAAACACATGCGTTAGTTATTCTAAACAATTATTTAACTATATTACTTATTTAAATCAACTTCCAGGGTTGTAAAATATTACGATGCTAATAAATAGTCGAGTTCCTATAAAATGTTTAAATATACATATCATTTTAAACATTTTACACACATAATTGTGTCTGGTGTTTTTCGATAGGGAGGGACGTTAAACTATATAGGGTTATTTGTAAAACACTAACAATCTCGCAGCACTATATTACTAACATCATGAATAACTAGCTTTTGTTTCATGACTTTTATTAATTCATCAGATTTTACTTTAGTACAATAAGAATATTTGGGTGTGTTAACTTAATTCACCTGAACTAATTCACCTAGGTGCATTAAGTACAACTTTAGTAAACTTAAATTGGTAAAAAATTAAAGGGTGCATTAGATAAACATAAAAGTAAACTGTATACACCTAATTCACCTGGTGAACATAAAAGTAAACTATAAATAATAAATAAATTATAAATAACGCACACACTCAACATAGCCCCGCACTAGGGAAACCCTGTGTCGCGGGTGCCATGCACACACACATAGACAACCACAAATTACACCCAAACTCACCAAACTGCATTAACTCCTTTATTTAATATGGAACCTTTTTGTCAGTGTCTTTACTCATTCTAGCCACTTGAGACACTTTCAATTGTTTTTGAATAAATAACGTTGAGAAAACTATGTTCTATTTTTGACAACTATCTCCACCAATGAGCACCATTTTTGTAATGTTAACGTTAACGCACCCGAATATTTAAATAGACCGCTTTAAACGGTGATAAATTTATGCGGCGGTTAAACAAGTCGGTCTAAATGGTGATAACTCTGTGCAGTAACAAAAGAAAGCACGAAAGAACTTCTACCAAATACAGAAAAACTATCACATAGTACAACAAAAACTGAAAAGTTTATTTTTGGTAATTTTTTATGTTTTGTGAATAGTCATGGGACAAAAGTCGTTGTTTATGATTTTTTTAATATAATATCAAGTGCCGGGACGAACAAGTCGTGCGCCTGATGATAAGCTACAGGCCTGTCCATAACAGTTGCAGTGCCACTCAGAGCTCTAAATCACAAAGATTTAAGGAGCACTGCCAATGCGCTACCGTGAGACATAAGTTGACAAGTCCCATGTGCCTCTAATTTCACCAGCACCCTTACCTTTCAAATCGGGAACGCAGTAAGCCTCGCATTACTGCTTGGCGGCAGAAATAGGTAAGGTGGCAGTACTACTCTGGATGAACTCTTTCACAAAGAGCTCTACTTCTACTAAAATATTACTAACATCATAAACAACTTTTGGTAACCTTGTATGATATGTAAAGAGTCTTGGAACAAAAGTTGTTGTTTATGATCTTAGTAGTATAATCCTGCGACGTTATTAGTATTTTACAAATAACCCTGTACATGGAAGTCATAAGTTTCTCACATGTGGCGCTGAGGGCAAAAAAAGCCGTTAAACCCGATACAACAAAGATCTGCAACAAGCACGTAGAGAAATTTATAAGACCTGCTGCTTCGATCTGTAGCTCAGTTGGTAAGAATGGTGACTCCGGTGTGACAACAAAGCTTGTCCGAGTTCGAGAGATTGGAGGAAGTGTTCTTTGTGTTGTTCGATCTTTGTATTAATTATTAAAAATAATAACAAACTAGTAAACTAAATTATGGTGATATTATTATTATTAATGTGATGGTAATATAAACATCATAATAGTCAATAAAATAAATATTTTAATATATTGAAGTCTTTATCAGAAATGGTGGTAGCGTCATGATTACTGCATACAACATTGAAAAAACATACTTCATCTTTTTAAGAGGTCCGAGTTTTGTAGCAAAACAAGAAATAAATGTAACATACCCTCATTGCATAAATAAGGGGATCTGGTAGACTGGGTAGCCGTGAGAAGAGAGCTGCTGAAGGTGGCGCTAGCTCGTAACTCCAGCGTCGTGTGCGTAGAAACTGTTGTCCACGAGGACTTGTCACCCAGCGCAGGCGGACTGGTACCAGTGCGCACGAATCCGTGCACGATGAACGGCATAGACGCAGGTAGTAACTGCGATTTTATTTTTGTTTTGTTAAACTATTACGTAACTATAGTAACTGCCTCCTTGGCCGAACGGTTACCATGCTGGTCTGCTACGTAGAGGTCCCGGGTGCGATTCCCGAGTCGGGAGATATATTTGTATGGCCTACGTTTGTTTCTCTCATTAGTTTAATTGTAATTCGTGGTTGTCTTTGTGTTTGTCCATGGCACCCACGATACAGGGTTCTCTAATGTAGGGCTATGAGTGTGTGCATAATTTATTAATTTAATTTATATTAGTCACAAAATAAGAGGCACCTTTTAACATTTGTCATCGCAAAGTAAATAGTGATGTGAACTACTCGTATCGGTAACCATATTAAACTATTGTCGCAAAAAATCGATTCGAACTTTTATGAGTCTGTGATGGTTTAGATTATTATGTGGGTCATGGATTTTCAGTTCGAGATAGAACAATTAACATTTATTTAAGCAACATAAAGTTTAATATAAATAATAAGTAAGTATTTTAAATTATCACAATGACAACCTGTAGTTAAATAGCAAAATCCTGAAACAAAACAAAAAAAAGACTTCATAGTTTAAATTTTTATTCGCTTTCATAGGAAAATGAGTCAAACTCATAGAGTCACCTGTATCAATCTCATCTCTATCAAAATCAAAAAGTAATATTTTTTTTAAGTGAATTTAATTGAGTCAGTGAAATTCGGCGATTAATAGGTTACAATATTATTATTTAAAAAAATAAGATTATATAAATAGAGAGACTGTTTTTAAGACGTCTCGGACTATCTCAAAATTGTATTTTATTTTGGAATTCGTACGAAAATAATACTTGAAATATGTTCTATCATATTATATAATACTTCACTAAAATTTATGTATTTTTTAAAACCCAATAAATCATTAACAATTCGTTTACTGTTTGTTCCGTTGATTGCATTCAAAGTTACATACTTTCGTCTCCTTTAGTTGTCAAATTGAGCCTCGTACATTGTGACGACTACAGCAGACACAGGCACCTTCGTTCGTTTGGTATATAAATAAAAAGTACAGTATAAACTATTTAACCATCGAATTCCAGCCAAGTCGGTCCAACCGTTAGGAAATTTTGGCAAACATTCGGATTCGTAATATTGGTGTAGATTTATAGAGTACAATAACTATTTTAAAGCATTATCTTTTAAACTTTCTAAACTAGGGTCTAAAGAAGTCCACGGAATTCCACTGGCGCTCTTAATAATAACTAATGCAACCGCATTTTTATTCATTTTACTGCTGCTTTTTTTAGTAACATACTTGTTGACTGCGTGGTCTGTACCTCTGGAAACTTTGAAAACGCTGGTCTAGAACAAACCTACGCCTTACAGTAACGTCACTGAAACGCTAAATTGACACAATCTGTTCAATATTATTGAATAAATCCTCCTCAATCTGTACAATGTGACTCAAAAACTAATTACTTACCCACAAAGCCAATTCCCGATCTTAGGCATATAATCTTTGAAGACCAACGCAGCAGTGACGTAAGTGTCTGCCTGCAATTGTCTGTTTCCAGTCACTTCGGCCAGGTTGACGGCTTGCAAAGCCAGTAGTACACGCTCGCTGCGACCGCTATGGCTGGATACGATCTCCAGCTGAGCGAGGCGATGGGAGACCGTCGATACTTCAGCAGCCCAGTGCTGTGCTGCCCTTCTTGCAGGACTACATGGATCAGGCAGATTTAAGTATGTTTATTATTCTAGAAATTCAACAAACAGCGCTGCGTATTACGTAGACGCAGACTAAAAACGACAGGTTTACATAATTAAACCTGTCGTTTATAATCAATTAAATTCTAAAGGGTAGCGCCATTAAGCAAAAAGAAGAAGAAAGAATCAATTAAATAAAAAAATGGAGACTTATACATATAAGAGCTGAACTGCCTCCGCAGAGGTTCCAGGTTCGATTCCCGGGCTGACAGAAATATTTGTATAGCCTACATTATTTCTCTCGTGAGTTTGGGCGTAATTTGTGGTTGTCTGTGTGTGTCCATGGCACCCGCGACACAGGGTTTCCCTAGTGTGGGGCTATGTTGAGTGTGTGCGTTATTATTATTATAAGTAATGTTATTTTAAAGACACTCTCTTTAAAAAAATATTATTTAATGAATAAGTAGGTACAAAAAGCTGTAGTAACTAATAGTTTAACCTATAATACGGGGAAGTAGATATAGTAAATAGTTTAACTTTGAATACGGGGAAGTCCATAACGTGTTATGGTTTCTTTAAAATATATTTTTTTAATATAATGTCAAGTAACGGGACGAACAAGTCGTGCGCCTGATGGTAAGCTACACGCCTGCACATAACAGTTGCAGTGCCACTCAGAGCTTTAAATCGCAAAGATCTGAGGGGCACAGCCACTGCGCCCGTCACTCTGAGACGTAACTTGGCAAGTCCCATGTGCCTGTAATTCCCTCGGTACCCTTACCTTTCAAAACCGGAACGCAGTAATGCTTACTGCTTGGCGGCAATAATAGGTAAGGTGGCAACAGTTCCTTTGACGAACTCTTTCACAAGGAGCTCTACTGCTACTAAAATGCGTATCCATAACACGTTATTTGTTTCCTGGCACTTATTGAAATTGTCAGAACCTGGGTTATTGCTGATGAAAGTTCTATATACATCAGCGGATTCTGATACGAATGTTGATTTTTTTTACTTTTATATTGCCAGATGCTGATTTTAGGTATTCAGAAAAAACGGGAAAATGTACATCCTTACAGAATCTATCTATATAAAAAACTTTCTATTTTCTTTGGTATTGTAATAAAATATTACTTCAAGATTTGGTGACATTTATTAACAATTTTTCTAAATATTTCAGAATTCATGAAGACACTAAGGGTCGTATTCCAGAACTCTACTCAGTACTCAAATCAGGACTTGAGCAGACTTGAGTATGATTTCAAGCACTGGAAATACGACCCTAATGGCAAGGACTTGAGTATGATTTCTAGTGCTTTAAATCATACTCAAATTCTGACTTGAGCATTGAGTAGAGTTCTGGAATACGACCCTTTAGACCCTGCCTAGCTTAAACGTTATGGAAATCAAAGTTATTCAAAAATAACCGCTGAGCTACTTCTTCGGCTTACTGCTTGTTTTTGGAAGGTTTGTAAATTATTCCAGCATGCCTTTCAGGCCCTGTCACGACTCGAACATCTGCAATGAATATCAGCATCAACGAATGCGGATTGCCGATGCGGATATTTTAATTTATGCAGATTATTCGCAGATGCTGATATTCGCTACAACCCTAGTCAGAACGTGTTCTGACTACCTTAAACCGACCACAATACAAAGTTCGCGTCGTAGCTCTCATGATATTTGACTACTACGCATCGTGATTTATGAGCTTATGTTATGTTATGAAATTTTCTTCAGGGTTCGAAGTGACAATTATCATAAATATCACGATAATTAGCTCGATAAATTATACCTTTATAATTAACTTGAAATTTATATTTAGATTCTGACAGGGTGTTCATTATTCAAAAACGAGTAATGAGGGTACTTGCCGGAGTGACACGAAGAGTCTCTTGTAGGGACTTATTAAGAGACACAGGATAATGACCATGTATTTGGTGTATTTATACGGAATAATCACATTCATACGAAAAAACTACACAGCTTCGAAAGGCATGAAAGCCATTATAACACTCGCTCCACAAGACGACTGAGGGTCGTACCGCGACGGTTAACACATACTGAAAAACATCCGCGCGTAATCGGTCCGACTTATTATGAGCACCTACCCGTTGACTTCAAAAATGACCCAAATGATGAAACATTTAAAATTACGTAGTACTAAACTTGTACTGGATATTTGTAATTTTTTGAAATGTAACATTTATTACTATTTATAACGATTCTTGTAATATACATATGTATATTGTATATAATAATGTAAAATTTACAAGATAATAAATAAATCTAAATCTATAAAATGAATCGGAACGACAATATGCTTACTGGTAGCAAACGGAAACGATACTTTGGTTTTCTTAATTACCACAACTTTGACTGGTGAGTCAAATAACATGAGGACCACGACGCGAATTTCGTACTGTTTTTTTTCGTAGTTAGTCACAATTGGCTCTGGCTATTTTATAAGCATACATACACGACGTTATTCGTGTTATGGACATTTCAAAGAGGCCACAACGCGTGGTGGACGTTTATTCGTTCAATGAGTGTTTTCGGTCTTCGCATCTACCATACTTAATTCTATGAAATAAATATAACTGAGTCAACATACCTATCACCCCACAGGTCACCAGCTCGTCGCGCTAGGAACCCTCCAAACGGGAGTCGTTGCAACACTTGCCGTAGTACCGCCGCGGCGAGTGCCGCGAACTTTGCATTTCCCTGCCCACCTGCCTGCACGCTTTTGCCACATACCGCCAGAGATCGATGAAGTTCCAGTCGAGCGTTTGTTAAATCACCCTAGGAATTAATAATTGTAGATTTTCACTGGGGTGGGCCTAAACCATAGGGACCTTAGGGGCCTTGACTACAGCCGACGGCAAAGATGTGATTGTTACCGAGTTCCTAGGTTTTTTTTAATGTATACATGTTTAACCGAATAAGAAAACTAAGTCGACTAAACCTGACAAGTGTGAACCAGCCGTAATAGTCTCCACATTGAAAATTAAACTTTTATAAGGATGACGTGACCATAGGGCGTCTCAAGAAAATAGTTTAATTCCCAAAATGGTGACTCGTAATGGTGACTCGTATGGCTGGTTCACATTTGTACAGTGTAGTCGATTCTGTTTTCTTATTCGGTTTACCGGATACGTTAAAAAACGTATGTGCGGTCAAATTTTGTAAGTCAGTTTTCCGATACGGGAGAACCGTCTCGGGTCAGTGGCCCGTGTTCAGCTGCAACACTCATGTATATCTTACAAGGTCCTAAGAAAAATTTTATGCAAGGTGCACAAAGGATAAAAAGTTGTTATAATTTTACATGTAACTAAAATAAACCATAAATAGTTAATTCACTACAACACAGCGTTATTTGTAAAACACTAACAACCTCTCAGGACTGCATTACTAACAACATAAACAACTTTAGATCCATGACTTTCAATAATTCATCAGATTTTACAAAAATACCAAAAATATATATATATGTATGAATAGACCACTCTAAACGGTGATAACTCTATGCGGTAGCAAAGGAAAGAATGCGGGAGGCGTAGCTAAACAAGTTACTACCACATCAGAAAAAATCAGATAATACAACAAAAACTTAGAAAAATATTTTGTTAATATTATGTTTTGTAAAGTCATGGAAGAAAAATTATTATTTATAATGTTAGTGATATAGCCATGCACCTATGAGGTTGTTAATAATCTACAAATATTCCTGTATAAATATTACTTTTATAATAGTCCTCCTCTATAAAAAAGCTTAAAAAAGTCAATAGTTGATTTAGGTACCTTTTTCAAATAATTATCAGCCAATCTTTTGTGTTTATAGAAAAGACCAGCTTCTGGGGATTGAGACTTGGGCACCGAATCGCCGTAAACCAGAAGTTTCACGAGACATCCTCCCAAGATCACGATGTTTACCACATATATAAAGAAAATGTTGAATAACCAACTTTCCCAAAATCTCCACAAATTGCTACCTGGAAAACAAATATTATTGTTACTTATCAATACAATTTATAATAAGCCACCAAGACAGCCATACAACTGACATAATTTAAAAAATCATAAAAAAGAGTCTGAACATAGGATTTATTTTTCACTGACACGGCTTTTAAAAGGCCAATATCATTAGTTGTGCTGTAGGCTACTTTGAAATAGTTCCATAAATTTCCTCACTATCATCAGGAGACACCAGTATTTTCCTTTGATCAACTCTAGCATTAAAGTCAGGCGCTGAAGAGTCCAACATGAAGCTGCCAAAGAAAGCACTGAATGGGTTGAATGCAATCAGGCCAATCATGAAAGCACATAGCGCCAATCGAGAGTGGTCTCCCATACCCATGACAATCTTTGAATACTTCTCTTCAACCTGCAAAATTTTTAAATGAAAATGTCTACAATAAAAGGTATAAAAGACAATTTTTTAAGGATATATATACACATATAGAGGTACATTATAATTTTGCAACATTTAGTGACAATATTTTGATTAAAATTATTTACATACATTGCAATAAATGCTTTAAAGTTCTAAATATTTTTATTCAATTGACATAATGGTGTACAGGAACTATTGATGTGTTGATGATGATAAGGATGAGTGACAATTACTTGTATTATTTTGCTCAAGTCAAAGTATGTTAAGAATAAATTTTAGAAAATATAAAACTTTTTTGTTTTTATGGTAACTAAAACTTAAAGAGTGAGTTTGTTAATGTTTAAAAATTAAATATAGATGTCAACACATTATACATATTGGATACAGATCTGCTTAAAAAACTCATTAATAACAAGTAATTAAATTTAAAACTGAATAAATCTGCATTGGCATTAAATTCCAATTATGTTTGAAAGTGTAAAATACTTGTGCATTAGTTATCAAATTCTTTTGTGTTATTTGATAGACGAACAGACTAACATATCTTTCTTGACACATTCTAATAACAAACACAGTGTTCTTCTTTCATCCAATGGTATTTTACAAAGAATTGTACACTTAGCAATACATATTACCTTGAATTCTGGAGATGATGGACTATCGCTATCCAAACCATGTGGGGAGTGATATGGCGAGGAAATATCACTGTGTGGAGGAGTATACGCTCCATCCAACACAGGTTCCTTGACACCAGATTTCTGGCATGCTAGTTTCAAAGCCATATTTTCCTGTTTCAATCTACTGTTCTGATTCTGCAAGTACTTGATGTATTCTATTGTCTTTCTCAATATTGCTGATTTGTTTAGCTGTCACAATAGATCAATACATTAGTATTACTATCACAATTTTATCTAGTACAACTTCATAAAACGTTAAATATATTTTATCTTCAAAATCAAAAAGAAATATTAACATTAGGTAAATAAACCACCACACAAAAGATTTACAAAGCATGTGTTTAAAATAACAAATAAGTAAGAATTTAAATGAAATATACAATACATTTTAACATTTAACACACAAAAGTTGTATGAATAATAATAATAATTATATATAAACAATACAAGGATTAAGAATTTCTTTACCTTAGCTTCTTCACCAACTAGCATATTCTTTAACTCCACAATCCGATCATTTATGCTGGTTCTGTATCGTCTCTCTATAGCATTATGAGCACTTTTTTTAACTTCTTTCACCTTAGGTACATTTGCATTTGACACCTGGCTGAGTGCTATCTTATCAGTCTCCAGGACCAAGGGGATGCCTGTAGTTAACAATGTTGAGCCATTGTTACTTGTAAAGAAAGTATGGACCTGTCTATTCTCATTTCCAGATTTTGTATTTGTTGCAACACCTGGTGTTGTTCCTTAAATTGTGAAAATTATTTTTGAAAAAATACAAAAATAGCCAGCCAGTAATTTTATATTCATGTGTACAATACATAGAATAGTTGTTAAGTGCTTGGTGGTACATGAAATTGTTAGATATAAATTTCATGCTAGTTGATAAGATTGCATCATGCTTATTACAAAAACAGTGAAATATTAACAAGTTTAATATAAATGTATATCAACTTACTCGGAACTGGAGCACTTGTGTATATTAAAGTCTGTGTCTCAGGGCTGATAATATTTGACTGCAGAATTACTGGAGAAAAATTTGGATCTGTGCTCTTCAGTATGAATGGTGTCACTCCTTTTGGGTTATTCTGTAAGAGTACAGGCTGGCTAGCTTGACTTTTGTTCCCTTGGTTTAATTTAGTGACTCCCTCTAGTTGCACTAAAGGTGCTTGACGATCAGGTACCTGCTGAAATGTACTTGGTGCCAAATTCACATAAAGGGGGCTCTGAACAACTTGTTGAACTATCATAGGAGTTTGAGCGGGAATTTGCTGTCCATGCTGAGTGACATCGGGTAACGGAGCGTCATTGCTCCTGTGCCGCAAGTTGTAGCTCTCCTCTCTGCCATAAACACCTTGAACAGGGCTAGTTTTAGGTTGTGGTGGATGCGACGATTTCGAGACATGAGTGTACTGAGATACTAGCGGGTTCCCGCTAACACTGTAGTATGGAGACACTCGTGAATTTTGTGGTGATTCCGATTTGATTTTAGCATCAACACTAGGAAGGCCTGTGTCGTTGTCAACTGATGACAGTTCTTCCTCTAATTTTTTCATAAAATCTCCATCGCAACCACTGAGGAAATCTGTAACAGGCAAATGTAATTGTAAATTAAATGTTGTAACCATGAATCACGCAACGCGCAAACTGGAAAATTTTATTTTAAGAATTATATAGATTTTTACCTTCAATTTCGGCAATGTCATGGACATTGAATACGTCCGTATTTATAAAAGGTTCGTCTTGATCCATTTTTAACTCCTTTATCATAAAAAAGCTATTTTTTACTCACAACAAACTTAACTTTTTACACATTGTTTACAAAATTTCGCATTTTGTCTGTTTGACATCTGCTGATTTTTTCAACCAATAGGAAAGCTCGAAAACAGTGGCGCGATATTACGTCAATATTAGATGCGTTCGTTGACATTACATTGAAGTCCAAAACTTTCTATTACTTTCCGTGCTGGAATACATGCTCGATTTTAATAACCGATATTCGGAATCCGACTATCGGAAGGCTTTCGTACCATACTTAACTTTGAACTCTCAATACACGTCCAATCCGATAATAGCCGGAAATAACATACGATTTTCTTGTCGGTCCGATTGTCTGAAGACTCGCTCTGTATACTTTTTGACGAGTGGCAAGTTGTGGTGTTAACCTACCAACTGCTCAGCTTTGTTTGGCAATAGCTGATTTCTATTTTTCATACCAACCAAAACGTGAGGACGGGCCAACGCGCTCAATACGCACTGGCTGATCATCGCCATCCTATATAAGAGCTAGGCTCTGGTCGGTGATTAGTAAAATATAATATTAGTAAAAGCCTGCCGGATAATTTTATAAAAGCGGTTTTTCTGACAATTCTACTAAATCTGAAACTGAACCCCAATCACAAAAAAATCGCAAGTAAATGATTTCTTGTATTAGTAACCATCAACAAACAAATAAATAATGTTTTTATCAGTAATTATCAACCTAGGGATGTAACAATGATAAAATGCTAAAATGCGGAGGCATTTTCCCCACATAGCGTCAATTCCTACGAAATCCCCAATCTAGGTGTTGAGTTGAAATTCCCTGCATTTGGGAATTCTCTACATATTAGCAACACTACAGATAATTCAGAAAAAGTCTGACGAAATAATCGGACTGCGTGATAGCGAATACGATCCAATAGTCGAATCAGACTATCAGACACGAAATAAATCGGACGCGTATTCCCGTGCTTCATTTTGAATGCATCTTAAACTACGCCATCTAGAGACTAGTTGCGGAAGCTCTTTTTTTTTTTTTTTTTTGCCGTAGGTAAAACTACTTAGCAAAGTACAACACATGTTAGTTTCACAATTGGCGTACAGGTGACGCTCTAAAGGAAAATTTATCAGAAAAATCTTTCTAAATTGACACAAAAATGAGATTCTGCATTTACGTTGATTTTCGGTCCTTCGTACATTTTCCATCCTCAAGTTCGTACATACCAGGCTTTCCGTATCTATCAAATCTACGGATAAATTATTTGATGAGAAAAAATAATTTTATACAGGATACTACTGAAAACGCCTGTTAACTTGTAATCTTTACTTTATTTTACGGTTGATATTTTTATGCAACATAATAAGTTTCGTTATGATGTGTTATTGAATGAAATATCAATTTTCGATATTAAACGTTTATTTTATAATTATGTATTTATAACATTATATTATTTGTAAATATAGAGTTCTTACTATAAATGTAGGTACGCGATAAACAAACTCGATCTAATACAACTAGACGTATAGATACATAGTCAACTAGGTACATAAAGTTTACATAAGATATATTTGCATTCACAACTAAAAGAATGAACTCTAGTGCATAACAAGTACTTATTTATAGGCACAAAAGTGAATAGATAATATTAACATCTGATTTAACAAAACTGTAAAGTATACAGACAAATAAGGCTGCTTTGGGGGCGCTATAAATAACACTTGTACATAAAATGACTGTAAAAGATTCCCAACGCCAGACATATCAAGGTATTGGACCACACTATGAGTACGTGAACCTACTGGAATGTCCTAACATACAAATTATATTCTTGATTACAACAAGAAGGCACAACACCGTAAGACCGCCATTGTGTATGCATATTCTGCACCCCTCAACGTGATTCAACCTAAACGATATAGTTAGTATGCAAACTAAGACCTTTATTCGTATTGTATCTATGGCATTTTCAAACTAGACTAAAGTAACAAATCAGTCTTCAATCAATTATCAAATAATAAGTAATGATACGTATAGTACAATTATTTAACTTAAACAATAATGTAAATTTAACATGAATGAGAATACTATGTATTTATTTAGATAATAAAATAATGCATTTATTAATATTTATGTGAAGAGATACAACAGTTTCTTTTTATTTCAGTACAGTAACTCAAAAGGCAGTACAGGGCAGGTATGGACATTTACAAAAATACTAATTAATTTACTTTTTATGTATAATCGCCACTAAACTGCACGACACCACATTTTTAATTTTTAAAAGAAACATTGAGCATTTCTTACATCAAGTGTTTGAATCTCTCCTTAATTCTAATAAGAAAGCCTGTGCTTGTGCAAATTAATCTTAATGACGATAAAGTGAGCACAAACTTTATTGATTTTAACAATGAACACATATGGCAAACGACAAACAATTACATCATTTTAACCCGTAACGTAAGGAATTAGGTATATTATTAGAGAACGTCGCTATTCACAGTGACATGAGCGTCACGCATCGCACGATCTTCAGCTATAACACTCGACGACTAGGTAATGTCGATGGCGAATCAAAGAGATATTATTAATAAAAATACCTAGTAAATAATCGAATGCTATCCGATCGTAGGACGCAGTGGACTAGAGTTAAGCTGTAGCGAGCGTGAGGTAGTGGTGGCTTTTCAGTCTAAAAACATCACAGTCGCGGACAACAAATTGCACAATAACTCGTCTAGGCGGACCCGCCGAGGCGCGGCGGCGTGGCAGCCCTTCGGCCCATACGGTTACCGCTCCAGCTAAGACATATTACACCCTAATTAAAGCTAACCTACATCGCTATTCCTTTAACAAAGACGTATAAATGTTATTTAAAAACATAAAAATAAAGAAGAAAATAAACAAAAAAAATCACAAACAGACACTGATAACCGGTAAATGGAAATTTTATTTCATTTTCCGGCCTCGATAGCGCTTGGAAATAAATAAAGAAGAAGAGAGGTAGCATAAGAATGGCCGCGGGGCCCATTGCAATCGCCCGGCCGGAGCGCCCGGTCAGCGTGGCATGCGCGCGCGGCGCGTCCTACCAGTAGCCTACCAATAAGTGCTTACTTCTAACTTTGTACGCCTAAGTCAGTCTTTTTGAATGTTCTCCGTGATCGGCGTCGCGTGACATATCGTTCAATCTCTTTCACTACTACAGTCTAGTGTAAAGTTTCGCGGAGGAACAATGACGCCTGATGGAGGATCAGGGTCACGACGACGAGATACTGAGAGGTCCTCTACGAGATCATCGTCGTGTGGTGGAGACCGAGGAGAATGGGGCGGTGAGCGTGGAGGTGTCCGCGGAGCCAAAGCTGCGTGAGCCGCAGCGGCTAGAGCCATTGCATGCAATGCCTCACGTCCTCCATCTCTGGTTGCTCCTTCTAACGCTTGTTGCAAGAATGATGGGTCAATGAGAGGCGTTGTTGGCGTTGGTTCCTCGTTCCCTCCAGTTCCGCTCAATCCGTAGGGAAATGCGGCTCCATTTGTTTCTCGTTTAATACCACGGCTCATTGGGCGGCTTGTTGTGATACCCAATTTCTTCACTTTATCATACAAAGTACGTGAGGGCACCCCATATTTACGAGATGCTTGTAGGGCACTCATTCCATTTCTTACGCATTCGATTGCAGACATGATATCAGATCTTGTATATTGCTTATATCTTTTCCATTCTGGCTTTTGTTGTGGAGGAACATAAGGTGCTAAACCAGCACGGACATCTTGTTGGAAATTGTTTGGAGGCGGTGATGGGTGAAAAGACCGCGAGTGGTCTTCCTCGAATGATCGCTCGGTGTAAGGAGAATGGGCATCTTCCGAACGATCTGATCTATTGTAGTGCGGGGAAGAAGCTCGAGACGATAAACGACGCGGACGATAATCAAAAGATCGCTGAGGGCTTGAAGCGCGTTCTGAGTCATGAGCTGAACCATTAGAATGCATTCGTGGGGGTGCGTGTTGGTTGACGGGATGGCATACAAGTGACATGGGTTGAGATGAGTCCACAGGGGTAGTTTGTGCAAGGACATTCCGCAGGATAGGTGTGTCTCGAGTCGCTAACATGCTCGAAAGTTTCTTTCGTTTGAGCGGGTTCATGTCAGCAGAGTCGTAAGCAGCGGAGAGAACGGGCATGGTCGGTGGCGGCGGCCAGCTGGCCGGTGGTGCGGGTGCAGGCGGAGACACACTGGATGGCGCGGCGGCGACAACGCGTGGCGGCGACGCGCCCGTGGTACGTTCGTTGCTGCCCGGCCGACGCCGTAACTCCGTCATGTCGAAAAGGCCTTTGACTTCTAGCTGCTCAGCCACTTTCATGATACGTGGAATATGAGCCTGTGTCACATTAACCTCGCCCGTGTACATGTACTCCAGCAGAGCGCGCATCTCAAAATCTTTCACTCCTGGGAAAAGAATGCTGCAATGGTCCATGGGCACATCAGCCAAAATGGACTGAAAGTATGGCGAGTTCGCCGCAAGAACTACACGGTGAGCCTTGAACGTGACTTGATCGTCGACAACCAATGTGCAGTCCACATAGGTCTCTACTTTTATCAGCGCGTCGAGTATTTCTACTAAGTTGGTTTTGTGGTGGTTCCATTTCAAACAGAAGGTTTGTTGTCCTTCGCTGCTCCCCATTTTTCTTAATTGCGATTCTGCGAACAATTGTTGATGAACATTAAGTAGTGGTAAATAACAATTTTTTAATTGGAGAAAAAACCGCAAATTTTCGCAAATTGAAAATGGAACTATACTAAAATGGAATAATTTAATGATGAAAGATGATCAGAAACATTTTCGTTCAAGAATGAAAGTAGTATCTAAACCCAAAATCGAAAATATATATTAAAATTCATGAAGTATTAATATAAAAAATAGAGTAATGTCAATTTATTTTATAAATAAAGGGAAACTGAGAATACAACAAAAAGGTAACGTATAAATATAAAACAATAACTATACCAGGTACGATTTCGTTACACGTAGATCCAGGATACATGATAAAACACGGTTCAACACTGCTGCGTACCAAAAATGACAATCCGCTCTTAGAGTAGCGAATAATGCAAACAATGCGTACGATGAGCGCGCAATGCACTACAGAACGTTGTGTGGTGCGGACGTACGGCGCGGTGCGCCGCCACAGCTCGACTGCACCGCCCTTCCCTATTTACATATACGGTTTACGCTCTGAAGCCCTTCCTCACTAACAAATTGACTTTTTACCTTTTATTCGACAGGTAAATCGAACTTAGGGGACTGATGAAAGCCGGCTCCCTCCTGCCATTGGCACCACGCGAACTTGCAAGGTTTCATTCTTATCGAAAGCAGATTATGGTTTAAAATTATTGAACTAAGTTCGTTAATAATAATTTGTTAACTTACCTTTCAGACTATGTAGTCTGAAAATATGTATTTTAGAGAACCTCTACGCCGACTACGAATTCGTAGCACATCTACGAACTTTCTAAAATTAAAGAATTAAAAAAATATATATTTACTCACCCTTAAATTGAAAATCCAGAAACACGCACTTCAAAAATGTCAAAGAAAATTCGTGAAAATGTTCGATACATACGTAGCACTCGCACTGTTGAATGTTCGTAGCACGTATAGGGGTTGTTGCAGCGAGCGTGTAAGGAGACGCGCGCCCGGTGTGGGGGCGGCGTGCTGCTTCGAATGAGTAGCGGCGACTGCTGTCGCTGCAAGCGTGCTGCTCTCCTCCGCCGCACGACTCCGCCCGCGCCCCCGCGCCGCGCCTCGCGCCCTGCGTGCGCTTTTTACGCACTGTGCGCGGCCGCCACTACGCCGCGGAGTGCAGTGCAATTGTGTGCGGGCGGAGGCGCGGGGCGCGACGTGACGGCCTGCCGTAGCCGCATCAACGAATTGCAGCGCGCTGAGGAGGGAGAGCAGCGATGTGTGCGTGAGTGCGCGTGCGCATCCAATACTCGCGAGTTGCGCTAGTGTGTTGTCGCCGGAACGATAGAATATAGCCGAATTCAACTAATAAAAAATTGATGTTTCGCTTCGTCATCTCTTTGTATGTTAACGCTGAACTTCGCGGTGTCGTAGAAATTTGGTAGGCAAATAGGCAAATCGACAATTTGGTAGGCCGCTCAAATAATTAACGTGAACAACGAATTGTATTAAAATTAAATACACAGAAGGTGTATTTTCGCCGTCCACATTCAGTAATTTGGTCGACATTGTTATAAAATTTATTTTGTTATGTTTTAAACAAAGCCAAGAAATTAAACCTTGGCTATATGAAATAAAAGCAGAAATACCAAAACTTAGAACACTTTTAAGATTAAGCTTAAACATGTCCTAAAATATCCGCTCAAAATACCAGTCACGTAAAGACATTTTCACCCCGCGTCATCGTCGTTGCTATGCACACAGAAACAATGCTAAATGCGTCTGAAAATACCTCGCTTTTGACTCTACATAGAGCGCCCCAAAAATTCCCAAAAGTGCGTGAACAAACGTAGCAAACGGGGTCATTGACACAAGCTCGCGGAGGGAACGCCAAAATAGCGCGAAATGCACTCAAAAATAGACGAAGCCGTGTGTGCAATATTTTTTTGTTAGACGATCCCGGCTTCCGTTGTAACTTGGGTATGTGTTTTTGTTTATCCAATTTTACACCACACGTATGGGCTATGCGTGTCTATTAAAGGCAAACATAGTTCAATGTCATAATGCAATCAACAGCCTTTGATACACCTACACGAAAATTACCGCTCTGAAGTAGTAATGCATTCCTACACTTTTTTCAGAATGAACATACGTAGGCACTATCTGATACTTTAGTAACACAGTACATTAGTAATGTACTGTGTTACTCACACTTATGTGTAATTATGTCAACAGTTTAACCGATTATGTCTGATATTATTAGAATATGGATAATTCTAAAGCAAAAGCGATGTCAATCTTCATGAAAGTCTATTATTATACGGGACACGTGGATGTCGATCAATCGATGGAAGTAAAGGGGAAAATCAATTTAATATAGCTGATACATCAACGATTAATTCCAGTGGACGTAATATGTAGACAAATTTTGCACTGAAGTTAGTTTATTTATTTGTGAGATAAGAGTAAAAGTGGTAACATCTGTATTGGTTGTACATTTATAATAACGTACATATGTATTATAATTGATGGAATTCATCTTCAGCTGACACTTAATGTGTTGTAACAATTACCTATAAGAAGCAGCAGTAAGTCTGAATGTAAAATATTTTTTAATTCTTGTTGTTGTAACCAATATGATGAAGTGTAATTTGCTTTTTTTTATGAAACCAAGTTACGTTAAGTAAGTTAAGTCGTGCGTGCGTGGTGGTAAGCGACACGCCTGCGCCCGCCACCCTGAGACATAAGTTGACAAGTCTCATGTGCCTCTAATTTCGCCAGCAACCTTACCCTTCAAAACCTGAACATAGTAATGCTCACATTTCTGTTTGGCGGTAGAAATAAGTGAGATGGCAGTACTTCCCTGGACGAACTCTTTCACAAGGAGCTCTACTGCTGTAAAAATCTTGCTTGCTTATCTGTGAATAAAGATATTTTAATTTTGAATTTGAAGTCCAAAGTCACAATTATTTCTATTAACTCTCTATATTTCTAAACACCAATTTCTATACGAGTCAATCAATTTCGTATTTTCTCACGAAATGAGTCATTCAAATATGGGCGAGAAATTCTTACAGCAGAAACAATGACTGCAAATGTCAGAGGCACTCATGTCATCGAGTGCACTCGAGGTTCTTTGCAACCATTTGCATATCGATATCGACCCTTACGGTAGCATAATACGACCAATAAATGCACTGGTTGGATTCGATGGGAACGACGCGCTCAAGTGATTTAGTAACCGCATTTCGTCGATATTAGACGTCATTAGAAACGAAAAATATTTGCCGAACAGAAATGTGTGTATAAATCATTAAAGTTATATAAATAATATTATTAAATAATAAGCAAATACTAACGAAAATTATTAATAAAACATTCCTTTTCAAAAGTACAGTTGCAGTTAATTGGTTGTGAGTACAAAATAATATTGCAAGCGGTGTTAGCTAGTGCCGTTTGCGGTCAACCGCCTCACCGTTATTAGATGATAATTTGGCTATTGCTCCGAATACGCAGACAAAACATGCAAAGTTCCCTTTGTCAACGCTCATAGAATTAACTGTAATTTGACCTTTGGTACTAAACAAGTAATTAGTTTAAGTTTTCGCGGAAACATTCGTATCGTATAATCGTATAGGCAATGACATTGAGGAAAGAATGAAATAATGAATTTGCAATTCACACTGGTTATTATAAATTTCGGCATCAATTGACTAACAATGATTCTATGGCGATGCACAAAAGCGCATTATGCTAATACCAGCATAAACAGTGACGCCGCGATCTATCCCACGGCGCGCGCGCAGCAAAAACTGCAAACGGGGGTTAAAAAAACTAATAAAAAAGCAATAATGCGATCCCGCATGGTGGCTTGTTGAGACTGAAATTGACGCAACTGATGAACCGAAAATAAGAGATAAGCTGCGATGAACAATAATCGTCGAGTTACTATTGCACAAATGATTCTCTTGATGAATAATAGCTTTATGTTGTGTGTGCTCAAACGGGGCAATAAATATTAATACGCAAGGTATTTTAATTTTTAATAATAGTTGGGGATAGAGCAATTACGCGGCGTAACTAGCATTGAAATATGAGTTTTCATTTCGGTAATTTAGTCGCCAAATCAAATTTGCGTAAATGTTGTGGCTACCAAGTTAGCGTGATTTACGGAAGTCTACCAGTCCGCAAACAACATAAATTAATGCTTAATGTGCAAAAATGAAAGTCGTAGCCTTTGATATAACGGAGTAATAACGTGAAACCCCTCTGCTGTAACATTTGGTTTAGTGCATATACACGCCTTTTACCAATAAGTACTATGTACGCATCCGCGTATGTAGTGCTTACTGGTAAAAGAAAAGTGTACATCCGTGCACATCCGTGCACTACTACCCCCCGGCGTAATATTTATGTTTACCTTTGGAGAGTATGTAATTATTAGAATTATAATGCCACCCATTTTCATATCAAACACACTACGTCCATTTTCCGAAATCTACTATTTGGGAAGATTAGATAGAATAGGATTTTCAGACAAACTCTATCTCAACATCAAAAAGTGCTTATTGATATTTTATTTTCATTTTATGCGATCTAAAATTTGTTATTCTCGTATATACAGTTTAGTAGCAGTAGAGCTACTTGTGAAAGAGTTCGTCTAAGGAACTACTGGCACCTTGCCTATTTCTGCCGCCAAGAAGTAATGTGACCATTGCTGTGTTCCGATTTTGAAGGGTAAAAGGTGCTAGTGAAATTAGTACTTGCCAACTTAATGGCTCAGGGTGACTGAAGCATTGGCATATATTCACGATTTAAAGCACAGTGGACAGGCGTGTCGCTTAACATCAGACGCACGAGTTGTTCGTCCCTTCACTTGGTATCATAAAAAAAGTGTCTGATTGTGCATTTCAAGTGGAAGGTACTTCGCTATTAATTACCGACAATTAAAGCTCGAGTTTGCATAATAAGTAAAAGGGTGGTCGTGACCATACAGAGATAATTGTAATTTCACGGCATCGTCATTTGTCACCAGCATCCGCCACGCGCCCTGGTCGAATTTATTATTCCACATTATCTAGGGCGCCCTTACCCTCTTATATCTTATATTAACTGATGGGACACAATTAAATGTTAGACTTCAATGCTGACTTTTGCAGCTAATGATATTACTTTGTTTGGCATTCCAACTATGTACATAGTAGGTGTATGTATCGTTTTCTAATGTAAAGGTCAACGCTGGAAACATAAAACGTGTAACGTGCATTTGGAAAATATTACAGGATTTTAATTTAAAAAATCATAACTCTAATTGTATTTCTTATATAGTAATGCTGAAGTTTTTAACTGATTTAAAAAAAAGGAGGAGGTTCTCAATTCGACTGAACGTTTTTGTTTTGTATGTATGTTACGCGATAGTAATTTGTGAAACGATTTTGATGATTCTTTTTTTGTTGGAAAGAGGGTACTTCAGAAGTAGTCCCATTAAAATTTGAAGAAAATATTCCACCTCAGTGGCAAACTAGGAGATTAATGACTTTTGAGGTCGGATGTTTTAGTACTCTGTACTGAGATTATCCATTTATCATAAAAAATAAATTTAGAGTAATGATTTTCTTTTTACTTCAAAAAATTTTACTTTGCATCACTCTCCTGTAGGTAATATTTCCAAATGCACGTTAGACGTTTTACTTTTCCAGAATCAAAGTCTTCCATTAAATGTAGGCATTTATCTAAAAAAATAAGTATTTGCTGTATTTGGCGCAACATCAGCGACTCTACACGACAGTCGGTCGCCCTTTTAAACGTTATTTAATGAAATAATCAATAAAGTTTTGGTTAAAGCAAATTAACGGAACATTATGTTTATAAAAACTTGTGACGTTAACTTTAGATAAGTAAAAATAATAATATACGTTATTGTTTTGGGTATGAATTTTACTTTAGAATAAATAAATAATAAGGTAGTATAAGCTCTATATTGCAAGCACAATCGAATTGCATGACTATTCCCTGCCAAATCGAAACCAATGAACCAAAACATACAAACAAGATACATGGTCCGAATATCTTGGCATTGGTTGGATAGAGTCCTGGGTACGAGCCGGGCGAGTCCGGATGCGGCTCATTGTAGCGAAACTCCCTGTCGAGGTGAAACAATGCACTCTTTCCTCCCATTGTCTGTCGCATTACTATTCATACTTTTATTAGGACCCAGGATCGCAAAATTTACATGTAGGGTGGTTTATATTTACATTAGCTGGTATTTAAGTATTATACCTATTTCACATAGGAGGCTACATATCGACTGCGAACGGGCAACGGGAACTATCTCAATTTTCTAAAGATTATACTTTTTAATACTATTTTATACTATTTCATGTCATTTTATGTTTCATTTCATGCTATATAAATCACGCGAACAATTCTTTTCTTCATCCTGTAAAATTGTCAAAATTGAGATAGTACCGGTTGCCAGTTCACAGTCGATATGCCATTCATAAGAGGTATTTTTTTATATGACTAAAAAAATAAATGTCTAAAAAATCTAATAGATTAGAATTAAACTTACATAATAACTATTAATTGCATTAACACAGTAAAATAAACAACAATAATTTAACTGATGATGATTTAGATGATGCAAATGTCAAAATCGGTAGAGATAATATCGATAGTTCGGAAATGGGTCAGACGAGTATAGAAAAAAATTATTAAATTATAAAAAAAGGGCGGTTCTGCTAAATTTCGTTGTCAAAATATCGGCGAACACCTGCCTCGCAGACAGGATGGCGCGTAAAGAACTTTTGTATTATTCACTATGGGTCAAAACTTTTTTCATAAAGGTTTTGTTGAATATATAGATGTAAAAAACAAAGAGTAATATAACCCTTTCAATCTCCATCAAGTAATTACGAAGAATACCATAGGTAGTCGACGTTCACGACAAAGTATCGTAACGAAAGCTTATTGCCTTAATTCCTAAATTATATGATATTTAAGCTCCTATCTGGCACAGCTCGATAAGAATCTTAACACAAAAACAGTCTATCCAGAGATAATTCGCTGGCCGGCTCGCGGCCATGTTGCCTTCGCCCGAAACTCAGATAATAAAACAACCGCGAGCTTGCTGCTTTTTTACTTTTTTTTACAGGATCATTTTTCTTACTCGAGCTTGGGAATAATCATGGAAAATTGGCATTTGATTGTGAGCTTTATTCTCTGGAGTATAAAGTATTAAAGGTTCGATGGAAGGCTGTAGCGGAGTGGACGTCCTTGGGCGGACCCGATCTGCTAGCCGCGAGAGCGTCCGTCGCCGCGCGTTGCATGGTCGTTGCACCGGCACTATGCTTTTAAAATACATTTGAAACTTGGAAACGTATATTTGGTCCTCCATGTAGATTACTTTTTTGCCGCCCTTGGTTATTGTTATGAAGCTCATGTCTATGAAATCAACAACAAAAATTCCCCTAATCGAATTATAAATAATGGACTTCAAATCTTATAAGATACCCAAAAGAGATATTGTTTTATTTCTGCTATGGTCATTTTCGTTTTTGTCTTTTATCTTGCCCAATAGTTGTAAAAAACCATTGCTCAAATTATGTAAAAATCGCTTGTCCCACCCATCACTAATGAGACAAAACATTTTGCCTTCAGATTTATGACCAGTACCTAACCATCGCTAAATGTGGAGAAAAACCAACTTTGATTTCCCAACCGCTTCAAATATATTCTGTATTTTAGTTTTAAAACATGTTTCACAACGAGTAAACAGTACATAGGTATTTGAGGCGTATCGACTAGGCAACAATACTAATAAATAATGGGTCTACTTAGTTTTTTAAATAACTGTAAACAATTAAAATTAAGGTACGCAAATTAGATTGTTCGTGAAGTTGAAGTCATTTTATAATCTGGAGAGAGTCGTCGCTATCCGGTAGCTACTTATTTTATTCTCAAACCTGGTGGAACACGCCTTGTTAGGTTAGGTTAGTAGTAGTATATGTCTGTTACCTATAAGCAATATTTTTATAGAAATTAAAAATTCATTGTACAAATCAGCAATCCTTTGAATAAAAACTAGTATGCAAACCATTATTTATGGACATGTGTGATTTGTGTTATTTTTTTAGCAAAAATCAATAAGCATTAGAAACACGTTTCGTTATTTCCGCCGTGCGTGTACAATACTCAATGGACGCGGGTAGATGGTACGATACGAGGCCCTAATTACAGGTATCATTCGCAATAAACCCGCCTGGACAGTTGTGGACACCTGGGGACCACATGCGAAATGATAGCGAATGTCCATGGGTATTGTACTACCCGTAAATTGTTGTTTAACTTAGTGGTGCAATTCAATCGAATGTTTGCTTTGCAGAACGCAAAAGTTTCCATTGTTTTAATAAACATCTAAATAATGTAGTAACCACCAAATCTTATTACTGTTATGCTGCCCTCCTTGGTATAACTAACGCATTTACATTTTGATAACTTTCAAGATGTTGCCATCTAAAATTTTTTTCTTTGAAAAATGTCAATTGCGAGTCACAAGAGGAGTAACGGGAAAATCTTTTTTTTAATCACATGTTTTGAAAGGTTTTTTTTATCACATGGTTTAGGTATTTACTATTTAAAAATAATGAACTTACAAAAAATATACGATACACCTAAGGATATTGCCTAAAGAATGTGCTAATTCGTTCACGATAGGATGTACTTTATCCGATCATATAAAATCCCGAACGAATAAAATATCTAACCTTGCACATAATTTTTATATGGAGATATTTCCTATATCTATGGATATTTCTCTTTAAGTGCTACACAGAACCTGCTAAAGTTTGGTTTTGAATTGAAGCCTTGTAGTTATTAAACATATATTTACCCCAAAATTTGAATTGGAGATCCAGATAGCGAAACTGGGTACTTTTTCACGCCTGTACCGCTGAACCAGTTTTGCTGAATTTTAATAAATAGTGGTAAGGTGGGACCAAGGAAAAAGATATAGGCTACTTTTTGGCACAAAAATAACGCATACAACACGCAACAACTATGAAGATTAGTATAGTACAGTATGTTACTCGAAGTACTTATACTACACAGCCGAAGTCGCGGGCACCAGCTAGTTTCCTATAAATATATTTTATGGTCATTTCCAATACAAGACATATAATATATATACTCGTTATCGATGGATAACAAAATCTTCTATTGAAAACAAAAAATCAATCAATAAAAAAGTCAATATGTTGGACAGCGACATTATGATACTTCCAATGAACTACGCCAAGTTAATTTTTTCGTCATCGCTGATTTTATTTTGTTTTTGTTTCTTTATTTTTTCATGAAATTCGTTTTTTGTTTATTTCGATTTTGGTTTTTTGTTTCACAAAATTCGGGGAGCATAATATACTAGTAAATAAAATAAGACTGTTTGCATTAAAAACAGAAAATGACCAAAAAATAAAGTTGGCTTAGTGTTGGAGGTATCGATAAATGGTAGCTTAGGAAAGGTTTTATACAAATTGACATGTTCAGTACAGCATGGGTCGTCCAGCAAAGCCGCTTAGTCGATACCCTGGAATGATTATTACAGCCGCTTTATTCGCAAACGCCCCTGGTAAGGGTTGAGGCCAAAATTATATTTTTATTATAATCACTTTGCTATTCTAAGCTTGTCCGATAGGGTAAACATTGTCGGGTTGATTTTGATACAAACGGACAAGACGCGAGGGTTAGTATCATATAATTAAGTAATGAACAATATTATTTGACTATCACGGTATTAAACTTTTTTGTTCGAGTAACACTGTAACAGTAGGTCATACTTATTAATTGCTTATAAAATTGAGTTATTTTTTAAGTTTTCGTGGATCCTATCTATACTATGCACATATAACAGGAAAGAATATTTCATTGCAGTCGATCGAATGTTTCCTACTACATAACGATAGAAATATTCTTATGTTTTTCTACAAAGAACTCTAAACTTTATTAATATATTTTGTAAGGAAGTTATTCGCATGTTAAAGAAATGAAAACTTTAACATTTCGGTACTTCGGGGAAAAACTTTACAAGTCGTCTAAAAAATAAATCTTTGTAAACGTTTCATATAAAACTCAAACTCAAAAAATCTCAATTTCATAGGTAAGCAAATTACACTTGAAATCGTCATGTTAATTAAACTCTACTGCTCATTCGTAAGGCAGATTCCCCAGAGAAGAATGAGCAAGAAACTCTAGGGGTTGCTCTTAGTAAATATACATTTGAATACATTTATCATTTACAACATTTATTTCAAACATCTTCGATCGAGACTACCTGCAAGACCTAAACGGATATTTTACTGGTACTATAACGTGGATTTTTGTCATCCATGTACGCAGAAGCTGTATTGAGTATAAAGTTTTTGTTCCATCGAAGTTTTAAACCTCGCCAATGGCAAATTTTGAATATCAACCGGAATCTTATTATAGAAGCGTATACATTGCCCCTTACATGAATTTGTGACTTTGTGTGGACGACTGTCCTAGCTAGTTTATTTTTATTATTATATCCTTTTTATTTTTTACAAACACTGTTTAGGTCAAAATTGAATTTTCTGCAAAAAAAATTCTTTGACTAAACAGATAGAAAGAGCTTGAAAATTTAATCCTAATAATCATAAGTACATCAGTCGCATATTTTTGATAAAATTGTCTTTAACGCCCTTCCTGAAGTATCGATATCATAATAAAAACTACCAAAATAAAAAATAAAAACATTCAACGTAATAAATATCACTTATGCGTAAAATACATTGACAGTTTTATTATTCAAATAATAGCGAAAAGAAGCGAATATGTCGTCCTGTCCATACCCTATTCGACCCGCATCAAGAGGCTTAGGGTAAACCCTTTTCTCATTTTTATATCACGAAAAGATTGCCCATGACTATTTTGTTGGCAAATATTATTTGATCCCCTTGGCCCTTTTGGGTATCGTTTTAGCCAAAATCTTTCTACACATAAAGTTAATAGTTAATATATAATAACAGTAAGCCTGTACAGGGGTATTTGTAAAATATTACCAACCTCGCAGGACTGTATTACTATCATCATAAACAACAACTTTTGTTCCATGACTTTTAATAATTCCTAAGATTTTACTATCGTAAAAATCAATATATTTAAAACAAGTCGGTCTAAGTGGTGATAACTCTGTGCAGTAACAAAAGGAAGCACACGTAAGGCGTAGCTAAACAAGTTACTAAATACAGATCTAAAAACTTTCAAAAAGTGCAACAAAAACTTAATAGTTTATTTATAATATATACCAATATAGTAATTATATATATAATAATATACCAATATTATTATATTTTGCATAAAGTCATACAACAGAAGTTATTGTTTTTAATGTTAGTATTATAGATCAGAGAGATTGTTGGTTGACAAATAACCTTGTATATAGTCCCATAGCTGGGCACAGGCTTTCTCGCACACACATAATAACACACTCAACATAGCCCCCCATCAGGGAAACCCTGTGGCGCGGGTGCCATGGACACATACATAGATAACCACAAATTACACCCAAACTCACGAGAGAAATAAATGTAGGCCGTACAAATATTTCTCCCGGCCCGGGAATCGAACCTGGGACCTCTGCGTGGCAGTCTGACGTGGTAACGGTTCGGCCAAGGAGGCAGTTATGAGAGGGATCGGGGATCGCGCAGGTCCAATACGGATTGGAAACATCACACACATCAATAAATTGCCTTGCAGATGTGTACAGTTTCATTCACGATATTTTCCTTCACCAAAAAGCTCGTGGTAAATATCAAATTAAATTTTTGCGCATAATTTGCAATGCAAATTTCCGACAAACTTAGGTTCAAGCCCCGATTTGACCGCACGACACTCTGTTTGAGAGGCGGTAAGTCAAACCATTAGGTTGCGCAATTGTGGTTAATATTTAGTAAAATAAATTTTGGAACTCCTGTAGTCATCAAATTTGTGAAATTGAAACTTTTAGGTTATTGTCATAAAAATGTCGACTATTATTCCACGAGTATTGCAATTTGTCATTTCGTTATCATCCGTATCGGTGCATTAGTTCTCGGTATGGCGATAGCGTTATCGGTTGCTAGAATTCGCTGCCAGATTGCTGGCTTCCATTCCGTGCAATCAACACGACACTACCGCATATAACTGCACATTATTGCAGAACTAATTGTAACCTTTGTAATAGATACCTTCGCCCAAGCAAACCATTTATGAAGTAAACATAATTCTGAGAAGTATAAAGCAACAATAGAAAAATATTGTAATATCTAATTAAAAGGCCTACGATGTCACGTTGTTTCCTTTTAGACTAGAACTCTATTAAAAATTAGCAACGGTTATCTTTAACCTACGTGCAGCAATAGAGCGCTTATTTATCACACAGGTGCG